CAGTGTTGTCATCAAAGAACCCGATTTAAGAACCAATACTGTCACATATTAATTGGCGCCGTAGACCAGAGCAACGTGCAAAGTCGTATACCACTAGAAGATCACAGGCCACAGATATTAGTCTACACGGGTAAGTCTTTTTCTAATCCTACCATGGCCGGTTAATAATGACATTGTGCTATAATGTATTATAATTTAACTGGGAAATCAGCAGTTTATCATCACGCTTTATTAAATATCATGGTGTAGTTACTAGATTTAATATATTGCCGTTCAAGCTAGTAGTGGAACAGTCCTTAACTATTTGTAGGAAAATGACTAAAACAAAATTGTATATATATTATTTGTTTTAAAATGCGTCATGTTGTTTTTAAAAGATTATGAATTATCATTGGTTGTTTTGAACACATATTTTGGCTTTTAAATTTAGTAGTAGCTAAGTATTATCAGGCTAATAACTGCGAAGTGAAATGTTTTATGATTGTTTAATTATCTGGAATAGAGTTAAGCGTATCCTAATTGAGAGATATAGCTCTTTAAACATTCACACGGTATTAACGGTTTTATCTCTTATAATTTTTTTGTTGTTATTTTGTCTATATATATTTATGCCCCGAGGTTTACGGGAGACCCGATATTTACGGTAGAGAGTTTTATTTGTAATACCCCAAAGTTTTAATGGGAAATGCCCCGATATGTAACGGGAGAAGTTTATGTTAAGTGGTTTAACCCCAGGAGGGTTGTGCTCGGATTTAAGAGCGAACGTATTGTCTTGTTTTGTGTTGTGTTTAAAAATTATAGAGATAAACCGTTAGTTCTTTCAAAAAATATCTTATTTAAGATTGGTTAAATGTGTTCAGATCATTCATTATTCTTGAGATAAAACAATATGACTCCCTAATTTCAATTGTATCCATGTAAATAATACTGTAAATATCGTTAGATCGATATCTAAAGTCAAATCTGTTCCACTTGCTAATTTGATTAACTATTAATTAAGTTCACTCCATGATATATATGATAAGCAGATGATAAAACTTCGGCACGGGTGGCAGTTAATACTCTTCATATGCACATGTCATAACACGCCGTTTTGCCAGACGGTATGGAAAATGAAAAGACTACCGGTCAATAAGAAGAGCTGAACTAAACGGAGCAGGGAATATTCTGACCCCTCAACATTACTGGAACGAGGAAGGGCATCATATGTACCCCACCCCTACAGTTGGCTACGACAGTGCAGTAGCGGTCTAAGAAGATAATTACAGTAGTTTGTGTTCGCGATTCCACCAAATAATCGGTCTAAGAAGATAATTACAGTAGTTTGTGTTCGCGATTCCACCATTTATGTGAATAATAAGAGTAGTGAACACCCTTTTTGCATCCTTTCTAAGAGAAGCGATGAAAATTTGGGACGGTTTTAAATCCACCATAAACGTAACTAACCAACGAGACCGGGAAGTCGAAAAATCACTAACAGGTCTAAAAATGACATTTTCATACACGTGATATCCAATCGTAAGGCCAAACAAATTTACCAATACGTCGCTGAATGTGTACCCTGTCAAACACGTTGTTTACAGAAGAGGTATATAACATAATGACATATGTCATAGAGGCGTCCTGCCATATTAAAATACGTGTTAGTGATTGTAACATAAACCTGTCGCTATCAATACCCGGCTGGAGATCTTGGTAGTATTCCTTATGTCATTGCGTAACTATAACTTGTTGTTGGCATGTCTTATCTAACTTTCTTTGTCTGATAAACTATATTGAATGTTAAACCTTCATATGATGCTTGATACATTAGACAGGTGTCTAATGAGCTCCTTTGTCTCGAATACGTTTATAAACTCAGAACAGAAACGAATCTTCAGTCAGGTCCAGGAGGCCGTGCTAGGCGGGCGCCTAGATGAAGGTACCTAATGGATACTATTGAGGTCCAGGCAGGGCTAGGAGTTAGGTCCGGCCAGGACTGAGCGAAGGCCATGGGCGCCTTAGCACGAGACGGTACGAGACGACAGCTTCTGGAGTTAGCACACTCATGCTAAGCTAAGCTAAGACATTCGACTCCCTCCATTTTAGTTAGTTCTACGGTCGTTTACATTATGATGTTTGTACCTAATATGTAAGAAGAATAAAAATATTATATTCGAAGTCACACCAGTGTTGCCTCCAGAACTTGATTTAAAGAAATAGTGTCACATATATCCAAGCCATCTGAGGGTCTACAGAGTTGATTTTGAGCTTGTCATGTAAATAAAGTCTAATTAATAATTTCTATAACATCTGAAGCCTAACGAAAGACTTGCAATGAGCAGATTTAGCTCTTAACTAATGTATCTTTAATTTCCGTTAATTTGTTATTATTCCCCTTCATTTGTGTCGTATATATGGCAATGCTCGATTGTCAGACCACAGCGCTCTGAATTGACAGGAATATGGAAGGGTATCGTTGCCAATATTAAATGCTCTGCGACAATGTCGTTTCCATTGATTATATGTAAAAAATACAATGTACAAAGTCCTAATACCGATATTGATACATCTAAGGCAAGAGTTAAATGTAAAACGTCAAATTTTAAGTGTTATATGACAAATGTTTTGTGGGAAAATGCTTTTTTTGACGTGTCTACATTTTACATTTCCCTCATTACATTTTACATTTGCCACATCCCATTTGTCCTTCACGCTTTCTACATGGCAACTTTCGCACACCACCAACTTGCATATGCAAATGTAGGATATCACGTGACTAATTATCATATATGGAAACCCGGCACAAGCACATTATAAGGATATTCACGGCACGACAAAAGAAATCAAGCTGACACACCATAAGAAATTATCTAGACGACCCTGCGTAACTTTAAATGTGCCAGGAAATAATTGATGGATTCAAGCAGCCAAAGAAACATACTTTCCAGTAATCTATAACAAAATAACTGGAATTTCGTATTAATACCCGTATTTTTATATTTTAAACACCCCCATTCTTTCCGGTCTCTCTATAAACAGATTTTAGTAGCCTACTTTGATCCATTAAAAAAAAAAACAATATATAAGCATTGTGCCCAACAAATAAATAATATATTTAAAGAGAGGAATGACTATACATCTTTTAGTATGGACATAGAGAATTTTTGATTAAGCCCTGTATCTTTATTTTAGTTTAGTTTAGTCCCCCCCCCCTTCCTTCACTTTAATTTTATTTTGTAAAGTTAAGCAAATATAAATGTACCAGAAAATTATTTGCATATTCGAAAAGAGCAATCAGTTATACTTAACATGGTATCTGGAATTTCGTATTTAGACCAGCAGTTATATTTAACATGGTATCTGGAATTTCGTATTTAGACCAGTATTTTTACTTGAATACCCCTTTAATAGTGTGATATTTATTGGATTTAAATTATGAAAATACGATTGTACCAGAAAACTATTTACATATTTACAAACAGAAATGAATGTGATTTTCACTAATATGTAACATGATACCTGAAATCTCGTATTTGGACATTGCACAGACCCCCCCCCCCCCCCCCCCCCGTAATCATCATAAAATGCCATCCAAAGTGTCAAGGTGAGTAAAGTTTTATTGTGTGCTAGGCTGATTTCCTGTTATAGTGTTGATGCTGTGTGAAACATGCTATGTAGAATGCGTGAAGGACAAATGGGATGTGGCAGAGAGCAAATGTAAAATGTAATGAGAGAAATGTAAAATGTAGACACGTCAAAAAAACATTTTCCCACAAAACATTTGTCATTTAACACTTAACATTTCACGTTTTACATTTAACTCTTGCCTTAGAGGTATTTTGACTTTATCATTACCGGTATTATGACTTTGTACATTGTACTTTATACATATAATCAATATAAAAGACATTGTAGCAGAGTATTTAATATTGGCAGCGATACCCTTCCATACAGGAATGTAATCGATCAACGCGGAATTCACCCCTCTGTCAGTCCCGACGACGTATAGTCGTTCGGAAGAACGGAAAACCGACGTCCCGTGTACACATAGGCGTGCACGTAAAAGAACACTTGTCAAATGGAATTCGATGTAAGAGTAGACAAAAGTTCTCCCACAGCAGCACACTGCATGGCGTATGCAGATCATCTCCATTAGCCCAGTCGGAGCAGAACAGCAGGACGTTAAGGTGGGAGTATATAAGAATCGTGACGTAATTAAACACAACTAATAATTATGCTTCAGGGGACATTATGGGTTAGGATATTTCCTTGTGCAAGTCGGCGCATTCTTTGTAGCTCGCAATCACGTTTTTCACACGATTTTCACTATTTTGGGGGATTGACGGAATTCAATAGAAAGTTCAATGGAGTATCGTCTTCAATTTTTTCTCCAATATAAGCACATGTAACGTCATTAATATTATGCTCGTAGAGTTCAGTCGATAAATTATTAAATAGATTTCATTTCATTGTCCCTTTCGTTGTTTATTATGTATATTTCAACACCATTTAGTAATATAGGCCAAAATCATCATCACCCGAACGAGGGCGCCAAAAGTATCCTTGCTCCCCGGATGCTGAGAACCGTACTACAACACTAGTGAAGGTATGAAAGTGTAATAATCAAACAGCAAGAAATGGTAAAACTACATATATAGCTTAATTTGGCGATAGCTTGTACTTGAACTTAACCATAATTAACTTGTTGGCGAAAATAGACTTTTTAGCAAAGACGTTTAATAATAATGTATACGTTTAGGATTCCTGATATTAGCAAAAGGCTTATATAGTTATATTTTTTAAAATTTCTATAAATAAAAGCAAGTTTTGTAAGATATTACAAGCGTTCGTGAGGGATTTCAATCAATAATGTGTGTGTATGTAATTGTTAATATGCCAGTGTGGTGGGCTATCGGAGACGACAGTGTGATCTATTTTTAGCAGTGTGAAATACTGACAGTTCATTGGCTGGTATTCTTAATACTACAGCCGTTTGTCTAAAAATAGTACATGATACCCGCAATATATAAGTGATCGGGTTCGATTTTAATAAACAGAACTTAAACATCATCTAGAAGAAGAAGATTGCAATAACTATTATATTGTTTACAATTGGTAGGTAAGGCTGCATTGATTTCTTTGTTCTGTGATATACAACATAATGAATGTGATATTAATAATAATTAAGCGTATGACAAAATTTAAAATCGGTGTCGCATAGGTAAATCGGACATAAATAAGATTACATTGATGTATGTTAACATATACTATCAAGTGGCTATTTCGATATATATGATTATAACATGGGAGTGTTTTAGAATGTTCTGCCTATACGGATTGAAAGTATGATGCAAAATGTTATGGACGAGAGAGAGAAAGAGAGAGAGAGAGAGAGAGAGAGAGAGAGAGAAGAGGGAGGATGGGGTTTAACGTCCACTCCAAACAAACTAGGTCATTTCGGGACTAACATATGGTTTAATTTTATTTCAATAATTCGTTTGCGCGTAGGGGTCTTTAGCAGTGGGAGGAAACCGGAGGACCCGCAGAAAACCCACGAGGTTGGACAGGCGAGCCTACTCCTTGTCACGTACAACCGGGGATTCGAAACCACGCCAGTTGACTAATGACAGGCCTTATGATACAGCGCGCACGTGCTAACCATTCGGCCATCCAACCCCCCTGATCTGGATGAAATCGCTTTTAAACTACACTGGACAGAGTTCATCCGTCATACTGCGGGCTTTATTCATCCGTTCGGAGATGCGCGTGAACCTACATGTACCGAGAAAATAATATCGACCTCGACCTTTCTAAAATTATGCTTGTAAAATCTCTTTTTATATTCCATCTTAGCGGATGGGGGGGGGGGGTATTGATACCGGTATTGATATTGATATTTCGGGTATGTGCAGCATAAAAAATAAAGATATAGAGGTTTAAAGTTTTGATTTAGGCCTACAAGTTGTAGACATTTGTAAACATAATTGGGTGAATGAACGCTGGTGCACAATACTTCGCTCTAAGTATAGACATTAATCAAATATAAAATTTTTGCCCCGACTCGAAAACGTCAAAAGGTTTGAACGCATTTTCTCTCCTAATATATCGTTTGACTCCAATTTGAATCAATTTAATATAATCATTACAATGTCTAGGCTCACTCCAAAGCTCAAAGATATCCGGGATTACAAAGAATTGTTAGCGCTTTTGGGGTCTTGTCTGGTTGTTAAAAGAATAATTTTTAAGACGAGAAATCGCGTTCAAACCAAATTAGAGTGACGCTGGCCATTTTTATAGTTCTGAGAACTGAGAATCATGTCTTGGACTTACAGTTGTTATGAATCTCGAGGTGTATTATATAAATAATCCTATAAATAATCCTAACATCCATCTGTGTAGGTCTACACGTTGGCGTGCACGTAAAAAAAACATTAAAAGTTGGAATTCGAAATAAGACTACGCCGAAGCGCCTCTGTGCGGGAAACATTTCTCCCATACGCCCGTCTTAATTAGCCCATTCGGTTCAGAAAGGTAGGACGCTAAAGCTCAAATCGTTACAAGAATAGGAGATCACAGGCGAATTCAACGTTTTGCAGCAATATTTATCCTCTTTATTTCAGGAATGGTGTTAGAAGCTATTACTCCTGAAATGCAGGGAATTAAAGTTACGGTGGTGGGTGATGGCGCTGTGGGTAAGAGTTGTCTTCTCATATCCTATACCACTGGAAGTTTCCCTGGTGAATATGTACCAACTGTGTTTGACAATTACTCTAGCAGTATCATGGTGGATGGTAAACCTGTCTGTGTAACGTTCTTTGACACGGCTGGCCAGGTAGATTACTTCTTATGCATATTATACATGTACAAGGTTATGTTCAAATACTGTCATTATTATTAAAGTCTTAAACTCTCTATGCGTCATTTTAAGTAACAGGGGGATCACGTGGCTAAGTGGGTAAGACGCTGGCTCGCTAGCCTGGAGGTCGGGTGTTCGATCCCTGCATTGGCCGAGAAAGTTCATCCCGATTTTCCGGCGTGGTATCCCCTTGTCAGTGATGCAGGACGGAGGGTCTGACAAGGACAACTGTCTAGTCGTTCGGATGGGACGAAAAACCGAGGTCCCGTGTACACATTGGCGTGAACGTAAAAGATCCCTTGGCAGTTGGAATTCGATATAAGAGTAGGCCGTAGCGCCGCTGCCCGGGCAAAATTTCCCTCATAGCACACTGTATGGCGTATGCCCGTCTTCATTAGCCCAGGTTAGGAGCAGAACAGTAGGACGTTAAACCCCATTTCATTTAAGTAACAGGAACCGCTTGCAAACTGCAGTGCTATGAAAGATGAATCTATAATAAGAATGTTGTCGGTCCTAAAATGGTTCAGTTCTGTTCAGTATTTACAAAGTTACGTTGAATTGAAACTTCATCGATCTATGCTATTCGCTATAAGCCCACCGCCATTTTGTTTTGGGCGAACAAAAATGATAAGTTATTTTTAAATCCGTATGAATTCAATCCAGAGTGGTTAACTGACGTTATTATTTAAATTATGTTTTTTTTTTAAATAAATGTTTATGGGAAATTTGATATTTTAGCGAAAAATACAAATGACGCATCGTGACTTTAATTTTGGTTTTGATGAAAATTTTAATAGTTATATATATTTTAAATAAAGTAGAGACTCCCAGTACGGGCATGTTTTCTGCATGTTGTTTACTATTAAGAATTTAAAATTTAATTACGTATTTGATATGACCAAGAGATTTTTCTGTGTATACCTCATTCGTAGACAAATGAACAGGAGCAATTTATATGTTTATCGATGTATTTCCTTGAACATCTAGATTCTAAATATAGAACTATTGACCGACCAATCGAAACACTTTATCTGTTGATGTTTCAATATTTCAAACCAAGCACATTTTAGATATTATACTATTAACCCAAAAGACATTATGAATGACACATCACTCTAGTACAAGACAAGAGAGTGGTTACTGTGCAAAGACTGGTTGTGTATGACTTGCTTTTATTTATTTGTGTGTTTTATTTTCTTTTGTTTAGGAAGATTATGATCGACTTCGACCCTTGTCCTACCCCCAAACAGACGTTTTTCTAATCTGCTATTCAGTAGTAAACTCAAATTCCTTGGCTAACATAAAAGAAAAATGGTTGCCGGAGGTGAATCACTATTGTCCAGGCGTACCAGTGGCTATGATAGCTTGTAAAACAGGTAGGATGGATTCGGACGTTTTTGTTCTTCATTATATTTCAACCTTTAACACCATCGATTAAAATTTAAAAAGTGGTGGAACATTTTACGGCACGTCATTCGAAAGGAAGTTTAAAGATATCTAAGGGTTGTTCTGAATAAGCCATACCAAATGAAATGGGTGGTACAGATGCAACAACTTGAGACAGTGTTCTGCCCAATGTAAAGTCTACAGTTACTAAAGTACAAGAGAAACATTCAGATATATCCCAACTTTCATAACACATTATAATAAGTTATCAGATTTACTAAAGTACAAGAGAAATGTATATTCAGACCATCTCAACTTGCATAAAAACTTATAATATATTGTCAGATTTACTAAAGTACAAGAGAAATGTATATTCAAACCATCTCAACTTTCATAACAAATTATAATATATTATCAGATTTACTAAAGTACAAGAGAAATGTATATTCAGACCATCTCAACTTTCATAACCAATTATAATATATTATCAGATTTACTAAAGTACAAGGGAAATGTATATTCAAACCATCTCAACTTACATAAAAACATTATAATATATTATCAGATTTACGAGGTCAAGGGAGCCATTGTGTAACAGATGAAGAAGGCAAAAAATTAGCCAAGGAATTGGGTCTACCTATATTTTTCACCAGTGCTCTAACACAAAATGGTTTAAAGGAATCTCTAAATAATTGTGTAAGTTAATTTTTTTAATTACTTTCGGCAATACTATATACCGGAAAACACCGGAAAACTACCGGTATATAGTATAGCTCATTACTTTGATCCTGGGTCTTTATATAAAGACGCTCATCAATCATGTGTTTAGTTCAAGATAAAAAGCAGTGGAACTATTCGATAATCGAACTAATTTTTTTATGGTTTCCTTAGTCTTGTATACATGTGCTTCCTATATTTGTTATCTCTTGCTTGATAAAGACGAGAGAACCATCGTCGAAACGTCTCTAGTAAAATAAACCAGTAATTGTTATCCATATAAATGTATTGTGTTTCTACTTATCAATTACAATGAAAGCCACTTAAAGACATGTGAAAAAATAAAATCACGAAAATGACACGCAGTGGTATTAGAAGCTGATGTCTATATCAAAACAAAATTTATCTGCAATGACAATACCATTTCTTGAATACACAATATTCCTGTAATTCAAATCACGGCAATTTTCCTTTACTTCCGATATACAGCTTCATTTTTCTACTTTTAGTTTAAATTGGGAACAGAATATGTATCTTATTCTAAATCCAAAAGCAGGGTGAAAGGATTATTCTCTAGAAACAAGAAAGCTGCAGATATACCCCAGCCACCAGTTATGCCACCTGCTGGTAAGTACTCTGTGTTATGCATAAGATAATAGTATGAAACGTAAATTGTCGAAAATCGTATAATACCCGTTTTAGAAAAGGATTGCGTACGATCAGCCCCTTATCATACTACTTGTATATTTTTTGGCGGAGCCCCTGGTTCCTAACCTCTCACTTCCACTCCCCGAATCCCACCCCATTAACATCTTACGTGCTTGTGTGGCTAGTTCTAAGGAGTATCCAATTTCATCAAGAGTTGTACAATAGTTTTACGGGACGTCACCCAGTCCATGTGGAAGATCAAGATGAATACAGGTCAGAGTTTAATACTTACTGGGGTCTATATCGAAATGTGAGATTAGGAATCATTTATTTTAATCATTGCGTTTTAAAACTCCAATGTGAGCATTTGGTTAGATTTTTACTCATAAATCATTTTTAAGAAATCAAATCATAAACCACCTCGATTACTTTTATTTTAAGGATTGGCTCCCAGTACAGAAATTGCCACCTCAGTATATGCAGATGACCTCTACGAAATGTTTAAAGATGCCAAGTGTACAGACGTGGAATTTATTGTTGAGGAACAGCACAGAATCCAGGCACATAAATTGATATTGTGTTCAGCGTCTGTAGTATTTTCAAAAATACTTGGTGTATCTTCAGCTATTGAGGTAAGTTTTGTAGGGTAGGGTAGGGTACCACAAGGTGCTGTATTGAAGCCCCCTCTTTTCTTTGCTTTCACAAATACGAAATGGTTGACTCTTCAATTTAATTTATGATATCTTCAAATGAATTGACATGAAAAAGTAATTATGTAAAATAGGATCGTAATAATTATTTAATGACTCTACCCCTGTAATATTGTAATGTATCACTCAAAAATAATTTCGTTTTTTTACTTTTTTTAAGAATGACCAAATGAAAGTGATAAACAATATAGAAAATTATACCATGAAAGATTTAAACATGGGAACTGTGCCAGGTATAGCTGGAGCTGATTGGAAGGAACGCAAGGAGACTGAATCATCATTACTCACTATAGAAATCAGCCCTGACATAAAAGCTGAAACATTCTTACGTGTTATGGAATTTCTATATACTGGTGAGTATGAACTGGGAATCTACATGTTATTTAGTCACGAATAAATCTAGAGAGATTTGATTTGATAAACTTGTATGCTTTTTAATATGTTTAATTTTTGTATTCATTTTTTCACTTCCTACAGGATTACCAAGAATTCCAGAAGCTTATCCCGAATCTAATCTACACGAGCTAATACGAGTTGCTAAAATATTTGAATTGAACCAGTTAGAAACTGTGTGTGTAAATTATGGAAACGAAGAAGAATTCCTTAATCCCAGTATTGGTACTTTTCTGAATGACGAAACGGCTGGTAAAATAAAGAAACTCTTCCTTAATAAGCTTTGTGACTCTAACGTTACGTTTGATGTCAGTGGTAAGTTCAAAATTCTTCAATTACTAACATCCATTATCCTAGGTGTTTTACAAGACCAAATGATACCATGTGTCATTGGGTCTCTATATGACAGTGTGGTGTGGCGTGGCGTCGATCTTTAATCATTTTGACATTTAGATTTTGAATGTTTCATTCTTATAGCCATAAACTCTTATTTCTGTCTGCTTACTTTTGTCGAACAGTTGTTGTGCAGTGGCACAACTTTTCAACAACAAACCACTCAACAATATAAAGAAGGGGTTCAATTCCTAAATTCTTGCTATTAATCTATTACAGTAGTGTAGGACACAAATCTAACGAAATACTGTCACCTACTAAGTTTTATATGACACAGCCAGATCTTAGTTAGCTAAGTGTTTATCTCCCTTGGTAGTGCAGTATACCTGTAACATTCATAAAATGAAATGGGGTTTAACGCCCTACTGTTCTGTTCCGAACTGGGCTAATGAAGACGGACATACGCCATACAGTTCGCTATGAGGGAAATTTTGCCCTGACAGCGGCACTACGACCTACTCTTATATCGAATGTCAACTGGCAAGGGACCTTTTACATTCACGCCAATGTGTACACGGAACCTCGGTTTTTCGTCCCATCAGAACGACTAGACAGCTGTCCTTGTCAGGCCCTCCGTCCTGCATCACTGACAAGGGGAACCACACCTGTAACTCCCATAAAGTTGCTACAACATAACTAGCACCCAATAATAAGATATAGATAGTTCCATCATGTCGATAAGAGGATTAGTAAATTAGTTCAAATTCACTAGCCTTCCCAAGTCCAACTAACATCGGGTAATTCAGAAAGACGGTAAACACGATGTACACTTAGTCAGCATATCACCTGGATAGACCATTATAAAGATGTATCTTCAACGTTATAAAAGAGAAAATCATATCTACTTTTTCAGGGACAAAACTCTATGCTCACAAATCCATACTGGCAAAACGAAGTCAAGTTTTAAACGCCATGCTTTGTGGTCATTTCACAGAATCCAGTTCTGAAAATTCGCAGGTGTGTTTAAATTTCCTTAATTTTACATTCTTATATTTTATTTAATTTGTAAAGCTTTCGATCAGTAGCCTCATGTATGGTCTGGTAAAAAGTATATGAATCCATAGTCCCAATCTTCTGAATTTTTCATGGCTTCTCATAGCCATTTTCAGAGATATGGAACATTAATGCTACGGTCAGAAAATAAGACTTCGTTTTACGGTCGTTTAGGCCATAAAGAACAGTAAGACTTTACAAAAAACAAGATCTTCCAAGAAGAAACAAAATCTAACTTACAACATAGAAACTACTGCTGGTCCTTGTATTAAACCCTGTGTCATACCCAGTCCATTATTATTAAATATTATTTATTAAGAAGTAGTTATATCACTATAGTTGAAAACTGAATACATTAGTAAACTTAACCAATACTGAAATGGATTTTTTATCATTATTATAGGTATCTATACATGGCACATCTCCAGAATTATTCTTGGCACTTTTAGAATATCTCTACACTGATCACGCACCAATAGAAGACGTTGATTCCGTGGGACTACTTGTTTTAGCGGATGAATACGATGTACCTAGATTGGTAAATCTTTGCGAGCTGTATATAACAAAAGCAGTAGATAGGAGTTGTGCACAAAGTATAGAAAATATGGATATAGATGTGGTTTCTCTTCTTCATACGGCACAGGTAATTACATAGTAGTCAAATAAAATAAACTATGCCGGATTTAGATATGTAATAGAGCTAGTATCGGTCATTATGAAATGAGAGCCACGGTGGCTGCGTGAGTAAGACGTTGACTCGCTAACATGCAGGTCCCGTGTTCGATCCCTGCTTTGGGCGAGAAATTTCATCGGGTTTTTCCGTCGTGGTTCGCCTTTGTCAGTGATGCAGGACAGAGGGTTTGTGAGAAATAGCTTTATTTAACGTCCGCTTTCACTGAAGTAATATCGCAGACAGCGGGTGGCAAGGAACGAAATATAGTCGTTCGAATGGGACGAAAACCCGAGGTCCCGTGTACACATTGACGTCCACGAAAAGACCCCTTTGTCAGTGGTGCAGGACAGAGGGTGTGTGTGAAATAGCTATATTTAACGTCCGCTTAGATATTGCAGACATAGGGTCTGGCAAGGGACAATATACAGATGTTCTGTTGGGACCAAAACCCGAGGTCCCGTGTACACATCGTGGTCCACGTAAATGACCTCTTGACAGCTACACTTCGATATCAGAGTAGGCCATAGCGCAGCTGTAAGGTGTATTCCTATATTCATTGGCCCAGTTGGAGCAGAACAGTAGGACAGTTAACCCCATTTCATTCCATTTTCATTATAAAATAGAATGGATAATAGGGGGCGCCATAGATTAATACAAAAATAGCATTTATTTTTATTTTTTGTGATACGAAATACCCATGATTTATTTATTTTCTTTTCCAGCTTCACAATGCAGACCAATTGGCTAAATTTTGCCTCCATTTCATAGCCTCGAACTATCTGGTTTTCAAAGTCCGGGAAGAATTTTCACAATTAAAAGGTGACAATCTAGACTTCGTTACAACTAACCAATGGCCACCATTGTCTTATTTGGCGGAAGTAGAAGAATACGAACTGAAGATGAAGAAAAGGGGAGAGAAGTGTAGCATCATGTGAGAATCATAAACAATAAAGATACACTTAAGTGTCAAGAAATTTCTGTGATCACAAACATAATGCTCAAGTAAACATGATATGTGATTTGTGATGTCGCTATTTACAGCTAATTTTTTGCCATCTTCCGGCTGATTGTTTTGTGAAGCTGATCACATCTTTTAGTGATATTACTATTTTTATGTTAAACTTACATGTGAACTGACGGTCCTAAACAGAAGCAGCATAACGATGCTTCTCTCTCAAGCAATGGCGGATTCAGTAATTGTGGTGGTCTGGTCAAAGCAATATGCTTGAGGGCCAGTGTTAAAAGTTGAAATACCCCCAATTCATTTACAGTGCATTACCCAGGTTTATGTACTATTAAATAAACAATGAAAAATAATTTATAGATTAGATACATATATAGCTGCGGGAAGAAATGGAAGAACTTTTTGATTTACAACATGGTGCCGCACATAACAGAACTAGTATTGTATCCATACGGGATACAAGAACCTAAACATAGAACGGATGACACGTGATTACAGCACTTACAATCTAAAATGTTCACAAACGTCAATTTAAACAAAATAACCTTGTGTTTTAGAACTGAATAAAACAACTTTTATTTATTTGAATTAAAATTTGTCTGAATCATAGTTTATTATACCCAATACAGTGTTGTCTGCAAACAATCTAGCCAAATTAAGGAAAACGTCTTTAATGCGTCTTTGATTGGCATTTAGTAATTGAACATATTAACACAAGGTACAATTTTATGGATACACAATTACTGAGTTTAATACTAAGCGACGTTTAAACGACGTTACCCTCGTCTTTATCAAGCAAATGACACAGGTATGTGAATAGTAGGAAAATATATAAAGAATATGCAGCAAAAATAACAATCAAATACAATTAAAACGTAACACCTTTGATTAATAATGACACTATCTCTGCATCCCCTTAAAAATGTCAAATTGTTGAAAAATCTAATATACTTGCCCTCTGATTTCACAATCTGGTTCATTAGTCTACTAGCCACACCTCCATATTGGTGAAGTACATCTTCTTTGATTGGCATTTAGTAATTGAACATATCAACACAAGGTACAATTTTCTGGAAATGTATGGGGGAGGTTGTGATTTGGGGTTTTTTTTGTTGCGAATAAGAAAGATTGAACTAAGTCACCACATCCACCACATTAATTCATGAAGAATTATTTAAAGGAATTCATATTATTTTTTTTTCATAATTCGTGAAATATAATTAAAATCGAGTTATCGTAGGTTGACCCGAATGTGTTGATGATCATTTTGACCTTTCAGCATTTCCAGATGTAATATAGATCCGCTGGTATGTTTGATGTCAGTGATGTAATATATACTTTTTTTCAATTTTTTATTTATTTCATTAAACTTTTCGTCTTATAATACGCAGACTTTACAGTTATTGAGGCAATATTTATTATATCTTTTTGACCTGATTACGTAGAATAATAGTGTTAAATCGACTTCCGTACACGCATAATTTATTGTAGAATATTAACTGCTATTTATGTATTACATCACTCAATAAATGATATCAGTATTATTATCCCAAGAAAGAAACAACCCCCAAACAATCTCAAATATAAAACACACAACAAAGTTAATTTTAAAATGATATACAATGTCAAAAAAATTGGCTTTAATTAATAATAGTGGTATTAATACAAGACCACCTTACTTTTGCATCAGTGAATTTTCTACCGCTTTTAAAAATCGACCCATATTTGAATTCATCAACTGTTCATCACTAAAATCATACCACAGTTTCGATCCACAAACGATACCCAACCATCCATCAGGGGTGTAGTCTGTTTCCATCCGTATTGGTATAATCGTTCTTTTTTTCGTAAAGGCATATTCAGCCTCTAAAACAAAAACACATTCATAATATCACCCAGTATGGGGAATAATTTCACCGCGTGTATTTCGGAAGCAACAAGAGTAACAAAACGTCCGCAATCAATTAGTTTTTAAAAAGAAAAGAGAGATATTTTGGACAAATTCAAACGAACAGGTCCATACTGATTCGCCAGTCCGCTTTGAAAGGGTGCATTTATACGTTTCAGCTTACTCCATGTTGTTTGTAAGTTTGGGAATACCTATATCAATGGTGTATTAAATATAGTTATCCTGCCTAATAGGGTCATTTACTCATCTCGTCCAAGCAATTTAACGCAAAATGGAGACATCATGACTAAAACTGTTACTGAATTTTAGACAGTGGAAATTGTGTTATAAAGCCCATTCTGCACACAGAGAATACCCCCTTTAAAAATATCGCCGTGTATAAGTTAAATGCCTTGACAAGAGCTGTCGTATATAAGTTAAATGCCATAACAAGAGCTGTCGTATATAAGTTAAATGCCATGACAAGAGCTGTCGTATATAAGTTAAATGCCATGACAAGAGCTGTCGTATATAAGTTAAATGCCACAACAAGAGCTGTCGTATATAAGTTAAATGCCATAATAAGAGCTGCCGTATATAAGTTAAAGGGCACGGCATGGGCTGTCGTATAAGTTAAATGCCATAATAAGAGCTGTCGTATATAAGTCAAATGCCATGACAAGAGCTGCTGTATGTAAGTTAAATAATATAACAGGAGCTAACTCTCTATACGTACCAGCTCTGCAATTTTCGCTGTTTTTGTATTTTCGAGACATACACATGATCACAATTTCAGCTTGTTCAACAGCTTCGGCCATGGCTTCAAGTGTCGACCCTTCCATGTCATCAACATCCATCCATACCTTTATATTGTTAGACTTGAGTTGGTCTCGTATTTTCAACACCAAATCTTGCTTATCCCAATTGTAGCTTATCATTACGTGACCATTATGTTCTTTTGAATGTCTTAATTTTTCTGGTTTATTTTTGTGTTGTTGCGTTTGTTGGTTTTCTTGTTCTTCACTTCTATGATTTTTAAAATATTCAGCATTTACATCACCTTCTCCTTTATCATCACCATCATCATGATGGTCCTCATCATCATCATTCTCAGTCATTTCTCCCCCTAATGGAAAGAGTAGAATAATCCAGGTTAAAACGCAGATGTTTAAATCTTCCACCACAACTAAGAAAATGTCGGACGCAAATAGGTCCATGTTAGCATTATCAACAAGTCTCACAGCGCAAGTTTAAATAAACGAAATGATCCTAACGTTTTGAAATTCAATGGATATCATCCTTAAAACTTGAGCAACTGTTTCAGAATTCACAAGATTTCATAAATTTGAGCGTAAACTGTGAAATAACCATTAATTTGAAAGTAGAATCATTTCCGAAATCTTGTTCACGGTAAGTGTGACAGTATTGGGTCTTTATATCAAGTTCAGATGACAAGACTAGTTTAACATATAATAATACTTTTATTCTCTGCTTCTTCTAACATATTATATACAAAACTTAAAGACTCCATAACTAACTTGTAATGAGGGAGCCATGGCCCTAGCTCGGCTAGGCACGAGTGTGCCAACTCCCAACCAACTTACATTACATGGCCGTTGTCCGGTCTTAACTCCAGACCTGCGTGGCCTGTCCTGGCCGGACCTCTCTGTCGATTTGTTTGTTAATCTGGGTTTTTAAACCCTTCCAAACAAAGGATCTTATTAGGCTAGGGCTGTACGATATTGCAAAAAGGGACGATATCGATATTGGCATTTTTTTCAACGATATAGTTAAATATCGCGATATTTAATAATAATGTCACTTTGCTATTCAATAAATTAAAATATAAATGCATTAAAGCTGACTACAGTGTGAGTAAGAATTGTGGGTAAGAACTGTTTTATTCATACACTTTAAACTTTGCTTTTTTTATAATATAGATTTATTAAAATGAACAAAACAACATCCTTTTTGGATAAAAAGCGTCTGCTTGTGACCTTGTGTAAGAAAATTCTCAAATATCACGTGCAGCGGAAGTAAGTAGATGCGGTCTTCAAGTCTTGTATTGTAAGTTCAAACAGTTTAACAAATACTAAATGATCCGGACTATCTTCCATTCAAGCATTCGATTGGCTGCGGTATTCCTGACCTAACAGAGACAGTAATCTATTTATAGATCGTTTTATTCTTGCTTTCAGAAATTAAGTTTCGTAGAGTTTTCTAAAAATATTCGTTTTTAAAAATATGACAACCTATTTATAGCCTGTTAATTAGCCGCGGTAGTGGGAAATTTCAGGCGTTTAGTAGGCCTAAGCTTTACATGTAGTAACAACTGACAATTTATTGTCGACTAAAAACATACACGATGCAGTGAAAAACGGCTGCGAACACTGCACAAGTGTTTTCAACATTTAACGATTCTCAAAATATTAGTTTTATTATAGTTTATTGTCGTCGGCTAATTTCCACTGCTGTATAGTGTATTTATTATCTATTATTATGATAATTTTTTTCGATATTTGAAGTTTTTGGCGATATTCGATAAACCACTATATCGACGATTTTTGGCCACATGATATCGTAGTTGGGTCTGAAAATACCATATTGCGTTAAATGACTATATCGAGAATATCGTACAGCCCTATATTAGGCATCTGGCTAATGTGTCATATCACGTTTAACATTCGATACATGCTAATCAGACAAAGAAAGTTTAAATAAAACATGCCAGCCAGTTAACGTTTACATAATCGTTACATAATCACATATAAAAATAGACCAAGAACTCCAGGCATGTCGATAGCGAACAGGTGTCAAGTTGGCAGGAAGCGTCTTTAACATCAGATAATCTGTGATTATGTAACATAAGCGAACTCGTTTGAGATTTACCATTCTGAAAATTCGGAAATGGCGATAGTATTCTTCTACCCTGATGAATAAGTTCATTAAAATACGCTTTTGCCGACAGAATTTTCATTATTTATTGTAGAATTTTAAAACAATGTCAGTGTGTAGTCCTAATGTTTTGGGAACTATACCCACTATTTACGTAAATGAGACAGAGAGTAGTGTGCAGATATTCGGTGATGCTCCTTGATTGCATGCCCCAAAGGCTAAAGTATAGGGCCCAGAAATGTGGGAAAGGAAAGCATTTTGAATATGTAACAATATGCAAGATACACCAACATTTTGCAATAGATGGACGGACAAAGGGGAAAATCAATAGGGTTCATTTTGACAATGCATCAAAATACTTTTTCCAATGTATAATTTGACACCCCTAGACGACGCGTCCAATTTACATCCAGTTAATCACGGGTCCCATGGCTTTATACAGCAACCCGTCTAGTTTCATATCTAGAATATAACAAAACGTTTAGAATCAAACTAATAATCTTGGTATACTCACTAATTGATTCATGGACCTCGGATACTCGAAAAGTGTCTCCTAGAGTCCATAGTATATTATGACAAGTTATTTTTTCATCACTATTTTCTCCGTCAGATGATTGACGTTTTTCATCAAGAAAATGGATTAGTCCGGGCTCTTCAACCAATTTCTTTTTGACATCATCGTCGAAAGCAAGTGTCCATAAACAACGTAAGGCAACTGTCAAATAAAATACATTTTATGCCAATTACATCTGCTAGAGTGGGATCATTATAGCGTAGCGATCCGTGGTAGAAAATTACTCGTTACAAAAGTTGGGAACATGTATAATACAACATATACATTATCTTTTTTATTCATACTGTCAACAATATACCATTTTACAGCAGTATCAACATATCATAAAATTTGATGCATTCACCCCATCTAAATAAATATGTTGTTTATAAGTCCGTCCTGGCTGCTGTTAGGTAAAATCTAAACTTGGAAGCAAATCAAGACCGGTTTCAGATTAATTTAATTATCCTTAGCTTTGCGAAGCTCCTCTCAAGCTGGACGTCTCCGTACTTTTTTTACCTTAAGCACACGTCTAGCTTCTCTTTGAATGTGACTTAAGCCGGGGTTCTTAACAGGCAGTACACAGGCCATTCCTGGCAACCGAATATCTAATTACCTTACGAGATGGGCTCTATTGTCACGATCGGATACCAGTGTCAGCGTCCGGGATCAAAACAATAACCCAAACCATCGCAATGTTCAGAGAGTAACGACATGTCATAACCATCAGGTTTATTTCCTTATTTCTGCTGAAACAGTGGGTTAAACCTGCACCATCACAGGTCTGGATAACCCTGCACGTAGGTTATCGAACCGAACCATGGAAGTAACTTGAAAAGAATACATATAAGAACATACTCTCCCGTTCCTTTGGATTCTTGGAAATGGCAATCTTCATCATATTAGGCAAACAGTTTTTTTCCACAAACAGAGCTTTGTTGTCGTCAAATCGAGCTAGATTGAGAATTCCTGAATTAAATAAAACAAGCCAACAGTGGGGCTGATGACACATACTAATTGTGTATCTTTTTGAAAAGTATCGATCAATCAGACTGATTATTTATACTTCTTCTAAGCAGACAATGTTTATAATTGTTTTGAAGTACCTGGTAGTGAAACCATACACATGGTTCCATCACTATCCATCATTTAGAATCACAATTATCTTGTCCTAAACCATCGACCAATGAAATTGCTTAGCTCTGGTTAGCTTTAAGGGAAAATGTTAATCATTGAACTCAGCTAAGACATTCGTCAAGTTTAAACATTCTAACGCAATTAAAAACAGAGTTGTTATGTTCCAAATTCTTGATCAATTAAACTGCCTATCACTATCTCACCTAAGTCAAGGTATTGTTTTAATAAATCTATACTCTTTAGTTTCATCACTCTCGCACATTTAGAACCAAGTTATCGTGTTCCAAACTCTCAACCAATCAAATTGCTTATCGCTGCTTAACCTTAGTGGAAAATGTGCATGATCCACCAGTGTCAAGGCATTCACCTTATAGACGCCCACAAACGAGTTATTGTGTTCCAAAGTATCGACAAATCAAATTGAAGTATCTACTTAACCTAAATAGAACATCGAACTAAGACAAGGTATTGATGTTGTGAAACCACACACGAAATTTCACCACTTTAACACAATTAGAATCAACGTTATGGAACTCTGAAGTCTCGACCAATCAAATTGGTTATCGTTCTGCTCATTATCGAACTTAGTCATGGTATTGATATTATGAAACTGTAACCCAAATTTCATCATTCTCACTTAATTAGAACCAACGTTATCGTGTCCCAAAGCATCAACTAATAAAATTGCCTATCTCTGCTTAGCCTGGAGCATTCATCCGAGTTTGGCCATACTACCATCTCTATTAGAGGAGGGGGTGGGTATTGTTTTTCAAATTCTCGACAAATCAGATTGAAATATCTATTAAGCCTAAGCAAACAATGATCATCATGTTTACTCAGAGCAGAAAATGTGCATTATCGAATTTAGTCGTGGTTTTAATATAATGAGACTATACACCAAGTCTCACCTTTATCACTGAATTAGAACCACAGTTATCGTTTTCCAAAGCACCAACCATTCAAATTGCCCCGTCGAGGCATTCGCCTAAGGCATTCGCCTAATAAACACCTACACCAAGTTTGAACGTTCTAGCTCAAGTGTGACAGACAGACTGGTAGAAGAATTTTAAGAGTACCCTGCTTTCTTCGGAAGGCGGGGGACAACAATGTAATGGTAATATTCTTCTGGTAAAATTCAATAGAATTACCTGATGCCAATTCCAGGCTTTTCCAACCATTTGGTGATCTGTGCATATCACTCTCTAGACTTTTTTCAAACTCATCCATTAAACTGTTAATAGTTGAGGTACAAGCCTGGATATTTGTGTTTTCATCTTCCGACATAATAGCAGCTAAACCAAGAAGAGCAGCCAGACTGATACCATCATCATCAGCTGATATGTGTTTTGTTAGTGATGTTTGAAAATCTTCATCACGTAACACATCTATGTTGTTGTCATCCATTGCAAGGTTGTTGACTACCCCAATTACACGATGTAAATACATCTTGTCTTCCTGGTAAAATATAAGTACTAAAATTAATTAAATACTCAAAACGTTGGGTCATAAAAGTAAATCAGCGAATTTCCGGTACCGATGTTATTTTATTCTATCCGTTTTTTATAACATATCAAATGGTATTAATTTTATTTTGAATAAATCTTTTTTAAATGTAAATGTCACTAATAGGAGAGCATACTATCTTTTGATTAGACCTAATCCCATTCAAAGTGACTTCTCGGTTCGAGAATATGATAGTAAAATGGCTAAGAGTAACAAGTGAATAACGAAACTTTGCAAAGGGGTACAATGATACCTAATCTATTATTGTTCAATTCTCAAATTCTACTGCATTTAGGGCATGCTATCAAGTGTCTATGCCCATATTTTCAATATTATGGAACATGTTGGAGGCATCAGAGATTAGGTCATCCACCCGTGCGTCCGTTCACATTATTTTGTTTGTGAACAGTCTACAGGTCACAGTTTTTATCAAATATCTCGGATGAGTTCGAATCTGGCATTATAGCCCCATATTGTACGAAAAATCAATTTTTAGCTTATGGCCCATCGAAAACCGTGTAGCCTAAACACGATAATGGCTAGTTCCCGCTGACCGTTCCTGTCCGTCCTTATATAGCTGCAATATGAAAATTACTTTCCTTCCCCACATCTGGTCTAAGGCTAGTTTAGAATCCTTACCGACTTTTTTTCACCGCGATTCTTCCTTGTTCGCCAATTGGAATCATTTCTCGCCACATCGGACACTATACTATTTTCATGTAGAATTAAAAACATTACCAAAAAATGTTTGAATTAATCAGTCATTACGAGACTCGAACATGCACAGACCGCATGTTTTCTTTTTATCGCAAAATTTTAAATCTGGAATTATTAAAAATTTAAGTCAGATATAGTGAGAAATTATTCGTTTTGATGAAAAATAAAAAAAATCGCTGTGAAAAATAAAAGGTAGGGATTCCAAAACAGCCTTAGAACATAGGTGGGGCGGTATTTTCATATTGCATCTATAATAGGGACGGAAAGGAAAGGTCAGTGGACAGGCTTCCGATCAGAGACCGTTCCTAAAGGAACTAGATAAAGGCTATATTTTTTAAAAGATGACTTATGCGAGGACTAACCCTATCGATATTCAGCATTCCACAACATTCCTTTCCGGTTTTACCACCTTTTGCCAAGAACCTTGTGAACGCCATATAGGCTACAATTTTTAATGGAAATTTTTCAAATTTTATTAGAAGTATTATGGTCATGTTCCACGACCAGCGTAGCAGAGTTATACCTCTGTTGCCGAAGGCCACCGTTTTGAACGGAATTTTGTCCACGAGAGATAGAACCCTGTCGATATTCAGTTTTCCGCTACTTTCAGTTCTGGAGTTAACCCGCTTTGACACTAGAAGCTATAGTTTTTCAATATTAAACATTCCCCCACTTTCAGTTCCAGACTAATCATCCTTTGCCGAAAAACTGCAGTATTGGTGTACTTCCACGCTTTGCTGGTTGTCTTTTAAAATATTTTTTAGTTTTGTTTTGTTTTTTGGGTGTGAATTATTCAGTCCATTCTGCATGATAGATGTTATAGATTTTAAAATGATTTTATTAACGCTTGTCAATACTATTACTATTACAAGTATTTATATAGCGCTCCTTTCATGATAAACATGATCAGATGCACTTTACCATAATAAGAATAATATAACACAAGGGATAAAATCATAATATCTATTTAGAAGTTCGTGTAAATATATAGAAATAAAATAGAGATATTTATAGATACATTATGGGAGATTAGATAAAGAGCTGGCAGTTCTCACTATAATAGTTAAAAACTAGATAATGTAAAGAGTATTTGCTGAGAATTTCAGTCAAACTGATCCACGCAGGACCGAGAATTTAGCGATTGAATTTTGGGCATAGCCTCGACCATCATTACTAAAGTCGGTACGATAAAAGGAACATAGTCTCGATTATCCATTTCTTGATTTAATCATGAATGAGCGTTGAGCAGCAGATCGGATTCAAATTCAGTGAAAATCCGACACAAAAGATAGCATCGAGAGTTGATTATGGTCTTTTCGTGATAATAAATGTCTAATTAATAGTTTATATAATATTTCAGACCTAAAGAAAGGCCTGCAATAGGAAGATTTAGCTCTTGCATGTTTAATGGTGTAGATAAAGTTACAACGCGTAAAAGAATCAGGTAAATATAGAAATAAAGATATAAATAAAAACAAAAGATATTTAATGATGTAGATCAAGTCATAACGTGTTAAATAATCAAGTAAAAAGCAAGAGTAAATATCTTTTCGATTTTCGTAATATCTCCGCACATAATGATGACACCAAGGTTTTAAATTTCTACACAGATAATTTATATTTAATAATATTTTTGGGTGAAATTTAGAGAAAATATCAACACGTCTTTGGGGATTATTTCAAAAGTTTCAAAGCATAAGTTTTTTTTTAAATGCATTCAACACTATTATTCTTTTTTAAACATTTATTAGTCACTTGCATAAACACCTATGCCGAAATTGGTCCCTTTTCGAGATTTTTTTCGATTAATTATTCATCGGTGTTCCATTTTCATAAGATTTTACGTCTACTTGCAAACGTTCATTGAAGTGTTCTTTCCAGTAAAATTATTAATTGTTATTCTATATCTTTTCATCAATCTAACCAATTTAAAAATTACATTGTTATTCTTTTATTTTGGAAACTTTTCAAATGAATATTTCTTTAATTGGAAATCAAAACTAATTTTTGACGACGTAGTTCCCGGCTCCCGCTAAAAATTACTCAATTCGATTACTTAACATGATATTAAGAAAATAAACACAGAAAAACTACAGTAGATAATCTTGAGGTTTGGATTTAATCCGATTAAAAAGACACGCATCAAAGATATCAGGTGAAGCTGGCTTGTTTTAGCTATATCCTATATATTTCAGAAATGCCGAATAGTGTTTCGTGTATACAAATAATATACAAATATAATGGTATTTCACACTTACATCTGACGTTCCGTCATCATTTAGTTCAGTATTATCCATAATGCCTTTTAAATAGCCAAGATATTCTGGAATTTGACAAACAGCTTCACACAAATCTTCCGATTTGTCCGTCAGACTCATCACCAGATTTAATGACATCTTGTGCAACTTGCCAATAATAGGACAGTTTGGCTTAGGCGAATAGACGACAATGCCACACAGAACCTCCAGGATCTGCTTATTTTCACTGATGTAGTCGGCTATTTCTTGTTGGTGTTTCTCTTGTATTTCTCCAGAAGATCCATCCAATGCAAAAAAAAAATTATTTGTATCTATTATAAGCGAAATCATTGCCGACATCCCTGGACTTACTTCAAAATCTGGAAAGTATGGATTCTCTTTGACATCATCACTATCTGTTGCTTCCCTCAACTTATTAAGGTTGCATTCAACTTTACTTTTGTACTTGTCTAGCAAGTTTGCACGAAACATTGTCTACAGGTTTGTTAGTTTAAAATTTGTCTATCAATCGTTTTAGTCTGAAATAAATGTCTGAAAAAATAAAGTAACAATAACAATATAGGCCTAATTAAAAATTGGATTTCTTTTTCATAAAGATCTAAAATACTTATTTATGTCATTAAGTTTGGTCTCATCTCCAAAGTTCTTAATTCGTAAGGATTTTTGTTTTGCGTGTTACACATGGGTATTAATTTAGAATTTCCTTGGTGCTCCCCACCATTTCAATTCCAAAGGTAATAATATGTGACTGGATTTAGTAGTAGATAAGAAACCTCATCTCTCGACCCTGCTTGAGATAAGATCGAGATAGTACTATATTATAGTCATTTCTAGCAATGCGAAACGGATAGTACTTCGATAGGCAAAACTGTTATTTATTACATTTTAGCCACATCCAACTACAGTTGTGTATAATAATGCTACCTGACACGGGTGCAAAACATCTCTTTAAAATCGAAGCGATAATAGCTGACTTTGTCCGACATTTTAAAACGGAATAGGTTTGACTTCTTCACGTAATGAAGGTGGGGCTAAATGCATAACAGCCAATGACATACTCGAGAACTACAAAACATTTTGAGTCGCGCATGATCACTAATGCACCGTAATTATGAATGTCCGCATGAATTTTGATTAAAAAAAAATAACACCACTTGACCAACATTACTAACAATATTTGCAAATAAACGAAAGTTGTTTTACTTCATTGGGCAGGGTATGTTTAATTAGTACTAATAGTTTAAAATTAACTTATTTTAGATGTTACATGCATTAATATATAAATTAAGTTTGACAGGTGAAACGAAAGGCTTCTAATCGTAGCTAAAAACAAACACATCAGGGATTTTAGCTTGTCCGCGTAGCTAAATTAGAAATGAAATGAAATGAAATGGGGCTTAACGTCCTACTGTTCTGCTCCTAACCTGGGCTAATGAAGACGGGCATACGCCATACAGTGTGCTATGAGGGAAATTTTGCCCGGGCAGCGGCACTATCGCCTACTCTTATATCGAATTCCAACTGCCAAGGGATCTTTTACGTGCATTCCAATGTACTGAAATGGAGTTTAACCTCTTTCTTTAATAACCGCGTTAATTTATTAATAAAAATGGGCCAACGCCATATGCAATGTGGCATTGTCATCGTGACATTACTATCGTCTATGTTTACCACCTACAGATACATGTACAACTTGTCTAGGGGTTCGGAAGCCGAATGGCATTGACTCTAATATGACATGGTTTCGATTCTCCGGATGTAAGTGACAAGGAGCGGGACAGTCTGTCCAATCTCATGGGTTTTCCCGAAATGACCAGGTTTGTGTCTAGTTGAAGTTTAACGCTGTTATTTACTTACAAACACAATATATAAGCATCTCTGGCTTGATTAAGAAAACAAATGAATCTTCGTGGCTTTGAATTCAGATTATTAAACTTAAATGTAACCTCCTAATATGTCGCCACTGCTCAAGGTGTGCTCCCCAGTTCCCATAGCCTACATTCTAAACTCAGGCTGCCTGTCAACAGTTAGCTCCACTTGAGAAACTTCTCAAAGTACGAAGTAGATGGATCTCTTCGCATAGAGGCTCTCAATGCGTTTCACAAAGGTATTGCAAAAGTCTTTATGGCGCGTGCATTGTTTACATAAGACGTTGTAGCGTAAAACTGGTCTGGGTAGAATGATGCCTTGCACTTATGTTATATACCCATTTACACTTTTTACCTATAAATACTTCAAACACCTTTATTTATTTTTCCAATATTTAAAAAAAAAATGTTCCAGTTCCCTGTCAGTGATATTAGAGACGTAATTGTTAGCGGCCTTGTGAATCTATTCACTGCTGATCAGTGTGAGAGACTCTTTGGAATGACAAAAATGAAGTTACCTCCCCTTAATCATTTGGCACACGGACTGATTAACTAAAAATATTCGATTAAACAATAATAGATATAATCAGGCCCCGTAATTAGGGGGCGGGGGGTGCAAAAATTTTCGAACATAAAAATAATTGATCTACATTGTCCGTCAATTTTACAGCACCCCTAAGAACACTTCTCGCCCCCCTGGTTGCTCTAAGCTAGTTATAGGCCCTGGATTTCATAGTGGTGTAGTACTCGATTCACGACTTGGCAATCGAGTCTTTATTAGGGACGTGGACTCGGACTAAGGGTCTTGGACATGGATGAGGCCTATTCGAATACTTTCCTACAAATACGTCAGATTGTATATTACAAGTTTACTTATTTCAAACAAACCTTAAGTAGCGTCAATCTCAAAGTAAATAGATAAACCTATTTTATTATCTAACCATCAAATTGATTATAAATTTCATTCTCATTATCAAACTTATTTTAATCAAGGTATTGGTGTAATACAACTATACACAACATCCCCCCTCTCTCTCTCTCTCTCTCTCCCCCCCCCCCCTTCAACATAAAGCAGTGTACTTGTTCTAACGTGAAATCAAATTGTTTAACTCTGCTTATCTCTAAAGAAATTGCTCTTCATCGAACTCAGTCAAGGCATTCCCGTGAGACATGGGTTTTACATGGACTATGACAGTACGCATACACAGCACCTATATCTTGACAACAACTTATCCCAAAGGATGGGCTTCAAGAAATCTGAGCTCGTTCGTGTTTCAGGGTTTCAAGAAAGCGGGGTAACTCTGAAATGGAAGTTTGCGGAAGGATACATATAGGATTCATCCTGTCATCACCTCAAGACAGCTGTGGAATGCTGAATATCGATATGTTTGTCCTCGCTCTCATGACCTCAATGTTTCGCACCAAATGCTTAGCAGCCCGAATCCCCCCCCCACACCCACACACACAACCTCTCCCCCACATGCACACTACCCCACCCCACTCAAACACACACACACCCATACACACACTCCTTCATTGTGTGAATATAGAAATAGCTTAGGTATCAACATCTCTTTAATGTACTAATAGTCCATTGTACTGTTAATTTCAGTGTTCAAAACTCTAGCCTAAGGTTTTTCTTTAACAATTTGCGCCGAAAGATAATGCATTTAACGATATTGGGGGTGGGGTTCGTGATTGCAGATCACTTTTTTGGGTATTTCAATATAAACATGGGTATTTTATAATACGGTTGTGCTACATATATCGTTTTCTAGCCGTGCTTCCGAAGCTCCGATCCGAGCATTATAAAACTAAAACCGCTACTTTAAAGATAGATTCCCACGAAGGTATTTATCGGGTAGTTATATCCAATAAAAGAATGGCAATATATCAGTTGTAGAGACACCTATATAATCTTACTAGAAATATACTGGATTCCCTGACAAAAACCCATGGGGCGCCCGCAAGACTCAAAATGTTAGGGTATACCTAAAGGGCAGTCAGTCTCCTCGAATGCTGTAAGAAGAACTACCTATGTGTTGATCTAATGGCTAACGGTTATAAGAAAGTTGGGAGGATTTAAACGTTGGAAAGAGAAGTTGGTAGAAGGTAATCCAATATTTTACTTAGGCTTTGATATTTATGGTAAATAGACAGCGACTAACGACAAATATAAAATAAAGCTGGATTCTCCTCCAATTGAATCCCGTGAAAAACAAGGCTGATAAAAAAAAAAGATTCTCTTGGCAGGGGGTTGCATTATTTATCTTATTTTTATTTTTTTTTTTTTCGATTAAAAATTTTGAACGGTATTTGAAGCAAGAGAATGAATCTTTGAAATTGGAAAAACAATAATCTATGAATCGGTTAGGAAATATCCTTTTTTTTCTGGAAAATTTCGACAAAAAATAATAAGTTTCGAGAAAAAACTTCGAAGGTCAATCGAACTTTATTTCTTTTTTGGGGTTATTCAACAAAACTTTTGAGGTCTTTTAATTATGACGTCACAATAGGTAAAACGTCATCTTATTGTTCTATCATTGAGCTATTAAATCTGCTAAGAGAAAGACGCTCTGTGATAAATCTCTGAAATTAATTACATTTCAACGTTTTATGAATTCAGATAGGAAAATATAACATCAACTATGACTGTATTGTAAGTATATTTAATATTGTAAAGAATTCTAAAAATTGAAAGGAAAAAAAAGTTAAAATCTCATAGTTTTTAATATTTTCGTAGTCGAGTTGAGACAGGTAAAAAACAAATAGATAAACTGATTTTCTCTGTTATATGTTTTGAATAGGGTTTTTGCTTTTCTAAATTAAAGATGTTTGAGCTATAAAGATTATTTTACTTTCTCTTACGTTTACTTTTATTTTGTATTATATTTATTCCAGAGAAGTGCCAGGCTATAGTGATAGTAGTTTAGACTATGGTGTTGTATTAAGTCAGATGATATATGATGATAATAAAATGTTTGTTACATTAACTGATAAAGACTTGATCAACTCTACAGTTAATACTTCTAGTAAGTCTAACACTCTTTGTCTCTTTTGGTCAACTCTACAATTAATATTTTTAGTAAGTCTAACACTTTACTAGTCAACACTAGTTTATACTTCTAGTAAGTCTAACGCATTACTAAACAACCCTACCGTTATTACTGCTATTAAGTCTGAACACTTTTACAGTGTCCGTTCACAGTAAGATTAAAATCAACATGCAGTTCATTAAATCACACAAATAAAATGGTTAGAATTATTTATTTATTTGTTGTCGACTTGTCGCTTGACACGAACATATGGTATTTTGTATTTATACTTACATGTAGAACACGGGGATGGGGAAGGGGTAAGCGGCGTTTTCGCCTACTCTTTGATTCCATCTGCCAAGCAATATTTTTGATGTGCAATACCAAACTATGCACGAAGACCTTTCTTTGTTTTACGTACTTGTAGTGGATTTGAACATTTAGTTATTATTTATGGTCAGTTATTTATTTGTTTTTTACTTTCTTATTTTCATTTCTTAAAATGTTTTCACGTTTTCAGTTGTATCTTACTATAAGAAATCCAACCATGGATACGAGAAGATTTGTGAAATGAGAGTTCCAAGATCATCATCGCTATCATCAGTATCATCCATCGGAGATACTAAGAATTTGGACGAAGAATTAGACGATACTTGTCAGCTGAACTTAAACCAAAACCAACATTATTCAGTGATCAACTGGGCTGACGAAATCTCATATGAAGAACCGACAAATATTCCTTGTTGGGCATTGATACCTGGATTAGATTTTGATCGACATGCTAAAGATGATTACTCTATCAAAGACAATATTGATGACTTCAATCAAATTCACCATCAGTATGTTATCAACTGGGCCGAAGAACCTGTGCATGATGGACCCGTAGATATCCCTGACTGGGCTTTGATACCTGCATTGGATTTTAATCAACATGATAAAGATGATTGTTCTAGAAGACAATGGGCTACTACAGAAAATATTGATGACTTCAGCCAAATTCACCATCAATATGTTATCAACTGGGCTGACGAACCCGTGTATGATGGACCCGTAGATGTCCCTGGCTGGGCATTGATACATGGATTAGATTACGACCGCCATATCTACTCTTTCGCGCAAGAAAATGTTGGAGACTTTGACCCAATCTACCATAAATTTGTCATCAACTGGGCTGAAGAACCTGTGTATGAAGGAGCCGTAGACATTCCTAGCTGGGCTTTGATTCCTGATTTTAAATTTAATGTCACTACTACAACCAGCCAAGTAGGATCTGCTCGAGTAACAGGTTTAGATAGCCATGCTAAAGAAAACTTGACAACAGATTTTGTTAATTGGGCTGATGATCTATCTGACGATGAAGTCGTTGATGTACCAGAATGGGCGATGAACAGAAACTTGTATTTTAACAGAAACAGAATCAACGCCAAATCATATTTTATTGATGATGTATTTGGGTTACCTACTATTTGGGAATAATATTTATGTCAGAGTTGCATCAACTGTGAATTCAACTCAATTGTGAGGATGTTTGTGAGAGAATTGCATCAAGCGGGAATTCTGCTGTATGTTTGTGCGAGAGTTGTTTCAATTCAATTGTGAATTCAAGTGTATGTTTGTGAATAAGAACGGTTTATGGTTGTTTTAAGTGTGAATGTATGTGTACATATATATATATATATTTATGAATAAGAATTTGTTGTTAAGTGTTAATTTAACCGTTAGGTTTGTCAATAAGCGTGCTTGGAAGATTGTTTAGGTGTTAATTCAACAATATCTTGTTTGTGCGGTATGAATTAATATTGTAAGTACCAGTCACGACTGATTTTGGATGAATGAGCATAGAATTAGTTTTAAATTATTGAAATAGAGAGGGATACGAAGAGGAAGAATTTTCTTATTAAGTGTTGGGGAGCGGGGGATTTATTTATCATTTTAGAATAATATATTTACAATACGTTATATTTTAATTTTTATACAGTAATCCATATATGCAAGAATTTTTGAATCTTAAAATAAAAATGCATAGTTTTTCTTAGGTTATATACGGGTATTATTTATATTATTTTTTGGGTCAAATTTATACAAGATTATAGTTTTACATGTTTTTGAATTTTGTAATAAAAATCCTAATTACAATGTGTGTATCTGTTGTATATAAACTGATGTTATAAATTAATGGTTTGTGTGCCTTGTACAATGTTAGTATCCAATCGTATAGTTCTAACAAAGTGTATAGCAAATTTTCGCAATACATGGGTTGGATGGTGGACATGTTGTGGCCACTTACTTTACTAAATGGAGAGGCATGCTGATGTAAGCACAAAGATATAGGGTTCAGGGACTGATATTATTTATGTTAAAGATGAATATAAGCCCCTCCACACACACACACTCCCCTATGGCTATCGACGCTGTCCGAATTATTTAGCACACTCAGGTTGTCACGAAATAAATCCCTAAAAACATCGACCTCGGCTCCAGTTTTCGGATAATCGATGACTGTCTGAGACGTCGGTCTAGTTAAAAAAAAAATACTTACTTTGACTGACGCTGTCTGGTGAATACAGTCTGATTCATTTGGTTACAATCTGTATCTAGAATTTAGGTTGGTCATAGAGTGGGATTTCAGTTGTTGTATTCACGGGCCAGAATAGCAGTTAAGCCGTATTGGGCCGTCTAGTTTTCAAAACGTTCTGGGTAAGGAGCTTCAGACCCATTTGTGGGTAGTCGGCTTCTAAACGAGTATTTTTTGCGGGCATTTCGTCCTCCACCCCCACCCCCACCCCCCGGTAAAAAAAACAAACATCGGGATCCTATGCTTATTCATTCATTGCAAAACAACCCAAATCCAAAACACCCAAATATCTTGTGTGTGATTTAATTGGCTCGGCGTAAAAGTACAGAAATTGACCTCGCCCAGTAGGGCAGCTCATGATTTGTGCTGAGACACATCAAGTGATAACTTTAATTTGGGAGTAATGATTTAGCTGATATTTTTCAGTCGATACTTCAACTTTCAGTTGATTTCCTTGGATGCAATCGTTATTAGTACTGGTGCATAAAAAGAAAATTTAACTTGGTGTATGGAAGACAGTTTTTGACATAATTCACTTGTGAATATTTACAACCAATTGGTGATAATTCAAAATAAAGATAATTTATATGTAGTTACTGCATTTGCTTTGTCAATGATAGAGAATGGTCCCTCCTGATCGCTGATTTAGAATCCTTAATTTCTAACTAAGGTCACGGGTGTGCAACCTCCTATCAGCAGACTATAGACCAAACCGCGACTAACGCTTTTGTGTTCCGTTGTTTGCTTGGCAATGGCAAAATCAACGCGTATGTGAAGGGGGTATTAAACAAAATCGAAAGCAATATTTGGGGCCTAACCTATGGAAGCCTATAACTACCATTCATAATTTCTACTTTTCGCCTCTTCAGAACACGAAAGTCGAAAAGTCGAAAGTAGAAGTTACGACAAAATGTGAGGCGACAAGACGGTATACAAGCCAAAATGCAAGTCGAAAAGTAGAAATTAAGAAAAAACGGGGGGCGCTATTATCGCGGTGTGTTATTTCTTAATTTCCTATCTTCGAGTTGATTTTGGCTTGTATACCGTTTTGTCGCCTCACAATTTGTCGTAACTTCTACTTTTCGACTTTTCGACTTTCGTGTTCTGAAGAGGCGTAAAGTAGAAGTTAGGAATGGTAGTTATAGGCTTCCATACTAACCCGTTTCCCTGTGGAAATTTGATATCCGCGTGTCGCGATAATCTGTAATCTGATAGCAATGTACAGAGTCTGAAATCCAACACCGATGTGTTGTTTTTATAAGGGTTATGCAAGTAAAGTTGTGTTTCGGGGACACATATTTATCGGCCTTATTTCTGGTGTCAGATAACAACAAGAACCAATTGATTTTATCCATGGATTACTGATAATATAAATAATGCGTTGCAGAGTATGGCTAAACCCTGCTGACAATTCGGGTATTGTTCAACTGCTCATTCATTCAAGATCTTCGCATTAGCCTATAAGAATTTTAGGGTGAAGGGGTGAATGGTCTTTTGAGTCAAGTAACGTGGTTTCGATCCTATTAAGGTTGTGTGGGACGAGGAGTAGGTTCGCCTAGGGTTTACCCCGGGTCCATACCCTGGATCGTGTTAAGTAATTGTTGATCATAAGGCACAATGATTGTGGCAATCTATATTACCAACAGTATGTCACTCTCTCTTTTCGTCCTACTTAAATCTTGATACTGTCCATATACAATTACCTTTGTACACAGCTATATTTACATGTCATACATATGATATACAGTTACATGGGAGTGTTAAATATTAACGTATACAAGACGACTTTCGAAAAGCAAAGTTTTATTATACTATTGGATCCATAAACCTAAAGGTGGGATATTAATTGTTTGTTTTTGTTCCTCTATATTTGACAAGCACAAGACCTCTTTAACTTGCGTTTAAACCAGCGGTTGCTAGGCAAGATACGCCCATATTTGTGAAATAGATGTGAAAAGGCTGACTACCAAAAAGCTCCCCACATCCAACGTTTGACGCATACTCTCTTCACTGCTATATAATAGCTTTGTGATCGTTTAGTATTGTTTCTGGTTATTTTCGTAATTCTTTACTCTAGGATTCCACTTTAAACATTGTGTATATCTAGAGAATCTCCTACCAGTCTTTTTTGATATCAAAAAATATCAACACAAGTTGATAAAGTAACAAAAAAATACGCTCTGCCGAGTTTTTTTTTTACTTTATCAACGAGTGTTGATAGTTTTTGATATCAAAAAAGAAAGGTAGGAGATTTTATTTATCACCCAATCCCTTCTTACATGCACAAATAGATAAATATAATTCTTTGCTGTAAATTTCACTTTTACTGAACATTACGGCGTAGTGATACATCATTTTTTGACAGCAATTCAACCATTGCAAAGTCCTTTATATTGACCCAGTGTTTCCATCACGGTCAATTGAATAACAATAGTTCATTTTTAATAGAAAAAAGTTACTTTTAATAAGGAACTGTTCTTTGAAAATAAAAAAAAGTAGTTCCTTTTCAACTGACCAATCAAATTCATGTAAAGCGATATCTCCTAAGGAGATATCGCAGTAGATTATGAAATATATCACACAAGCGATATCTACTGTAGAATGTATTATTGGGTGATAAATCTCTATAACTTTAAAACGTTTTCTTTAACTCCGATTATTCAGTTTATGGTTACACACAGGAATAACAATACCACAATTCGTTTCTACATTTTTATGTCAAGCTCTGGATACATAAATTACAAGCACAGATTACAATCATTCTCTCTACCTCGCGACCCCACCATTTCGTAGGACAAGTTTACTGACGTAATCTCACATCACTTGGCTCTCCCATGGTGGCTTAGCGGGACGGTCTAATCCTAGTGGTGTCTAAATGATGTCTGAATGATGTCTATTTCCCAGCCTCTCAGTCGAGGAGACTGTGGGTATGATGTTTCCCTGAACTCAGAATGATGTCTTCTCCAGGATCTCTCAATGATGTCTGACGGAAAAGATAACCCCGCTCTTCTTATATAAAGAGGATACGTGCATGAGTCATGTATTGAGCCCCGGGAAATTAACCAGGTACTTCCTTTATCTGATGGGTCAGCTGCACAGACGCTACCCCGGATTTAAACCCATACTAATATGGACACAAGGAGGGCAGTTGCCCGTGTGTCTAAAGCGTGGGATTGCCATATTTGGATTAGCAGACTATGATGTCATTGCCCGATTTTAACCTACCAGACATATCTTTGTTAACGACTTCAATACATTAACCAGAGCATCTTTTACCGAACTTAGGTAACCTCTACAGTATATAGACCCTATAGTATTACACAAATACTGACGCTTTCATTTCAGAAAACAAATTTTGTTAAATCTATGCCAAGTACATTTTAAAAGTGAAAACAATGTCTGAGCACAAGATCTTTCTGCAAGAGCACAAAGATAAAGTGGAAAGTAACGTTAACAAGTTGAGGGAAGCGGCAAATGGTGACGATGCTAGTGCAAGGAGATCGGCGTTAATTTCCGTTATAAACGATACCTTTAATTGTTACCTTGCTAGATATATGTCGAAAAGCTTTCAAGAGCTGATAGAGCAGCACCGACGAGATGTTTTGGACACCATCTGTAAAAATACTGAGATACTGAAAAGCTTATGTGATCTTCACTTGAATCCAGATTCGGAGATATTGTCCATGACTCAAGATTTGGAGATATTGTCCTTACAGCTGATGGTGGAGCTTACCGATAAGTCGGATGATTTATGTAATGCTGTTTGTCAAATACCAGAATATCTTGCTTTTTTGAAGGGAGTTTTAGATAGCAATAATACTGTTGATGATGATGACAAAGATGGTGATGACAATGATGGTGGTGATGGTAGCGGTAGTGGTGGTAATGATGATGATAGTGATGGTGATGAAATATCAGATGTACGTATACCGAAGCTTTATGGATTTCACAAAAAAGTGTAAATTAATATTAGTATGTGCAGGTCTGCAGAAAGACCGCATCACAAATAACAGTACACGAGAAACATTGACAAACAAGCAGAAAAGACATAGACAATTTTTGACCGGACAGCGGCGCATCGGAATAATCTTATTTCGAATTCCAACTGTCAATGATTATTTAACGTGCACGCCAACGTTTACACTGTTTCTTGCCCTCGGCCCTGCACAAATGAAAAGGGAAGCCACACTGAATATTTTGACGAACTCTCTTGGTCAACTCCAGGATCGAATTCCAGGATTGTTGTTAGTGAGCTAACGGGTTAACCACTGAAACACCGTGGCTCCAGAAACGTAGTTGTTTCAGTTGTTGATTTATTGACTGTAATACGAATTATTATATGCGTTACTTAATTGTTTTTTGTTTTCGCAGGGCAAGAAAAAGCGGTTATACTTCGTCATTACCATTGTCCATAACCTTGCGAAGAATGAAAACAACCTGTCTGTGTTACGTAATTGCGAATTACAACTATCGTTGAGAAAATACATATATGATGATGATACAACTATTGTTGCTCTTCTTGGTTTTGCTGCAATTATGTCCGAGGAAGAAAACATGACCATTGAGGGCCGTGGTTCAATAATTAAAACATTAATGGATGAACTGGAAAGCAGCCTAGATAGCGATGTACACATATCAATAGGTGGTTGGGAAAGTATCGACTTGGAAAGAGGTAATTAATACTATATTCACTTATCAAAAAATATACTGAGAATTTCACAAATATTGACCGGACAGCGGCGCAACGGAATGATCTTATTTCGAATCCCCCCGTCAATGATTCTTTAACGTGCACGCCAACGTGTACACGGGGCGACTAGACACTGTTTCTAGCCAATAATAGATCTTTACACTAAAAATAAATCATGTGCTATATACATATCGCCTTTACCGTATCTTGTTCTTTCTTATCGTGCAGGAATTCTCAATCTAGCCAGATGTGACGACAATAAAAAGATGTTAGTGGAACAAAATTGTTTGCCTAACATGTTGAAGATGGCCAAGTCTCAGAATCCAACTGAGCGGATGAGTATGTTTTAATCTCCATTTGATTTGGGGTTTTTTGTTGTTTTGTTTTTTGTTTTTTGTTTGTTTGTTTTTTGTTTTTTTTGGGGGGGGGGGTGTTAATATATTTCGCATACTGAAAGCACAAACATATTTACTTCTCGTATTAAAGAGAAATCCCACATATATTTCAGTTGATAAGAATCCGTTATTTTAGTCTTGCATCTTTGATCAGAAACTGTGCATACGTTTGTCAGAGGGATTTGGAGACGAGCTATACTTTCATTTTGTTGGGGGTTTTGCAGCTGGTAATTAAAATTTTCTGACAATTACCGCGTTTAATTACCCATTGAAAATTGGTCAGTTTAAATCAACATTGATGTTGTTGTCTTGCCGTGAAAAGGTGGCTTCTATGGTATCCAATATTTAAAGGACAATATTGGTGCCAATCATTGCCACATATGTGATAGAGCTGGTTAAACACATTCCAAATATAATTTTAACACAGAGATCATTGCTACGATAGCTGAGTAATACATGTACATGTTTCCTGAATCGGAAGTGACGAACGCCAAAGGAAAACACGAGTCATCACTCTATATAACAGACTGATGTGACGAGTGATAACAAATACACGGCCGAATTTCTGCTCACTAATGATTCCTTCGAAGACCAAAAGTTGTTATATGGGACTGTAAGAGGATACCTGACAATTCAATAAAGTAATTGAATGTCATTAGATAAGAGAACACGAGAAAAATAGAAATAGTCCGTACATTCCTTTGTTTATATTCATTCTATACCTTATAAAAACATGGTAGTGCACGGACTTTTTCTGTTTTTCTTCCGTGTTCACTTTTCTAGTGGCAGTCAATTCTTTTTATGAATTGTCAGATATTCTCTCGGTCTCACACAACCACTTTTGGTCTTCGAAGGAATTATTAGTGAACAGAAATTCGTCCGTGTATCTGTTATCACTCGTCACATCAGTCAGTTATATAGAGAGATGACTCGTGTTTTCCTTTCGCGTTCGTCACTTCCGATTCCGAAAACCTGTATTACCCAGCTATCGTACAAATCGAATGATTAATTTCGAATTAACAATATGAAACATTTTTGGTAAGGTTTTTGCTTGTGACAAGTCGAAAAAGGGCAACAAGTATAAAGGATCTCGAAAACTCTAACCTGTAAAGTGTTTTCAAGGTTTCGGCGATATGGCACATGAAACTTGGCATTGTTCGCCTTTACTACAAGATGAACAGTCCTAGTAAAGTAGTTCTCCCGGTGAACGAATACTTAATCCTTAAGGACTGGTGACATTTTTCTCCTGTATAAATGAAATGAAATGGGGTTTAACATCCTACTGTTCTGCTTCGACGGGGCTAATTGAGACGGTCATATACAGTGTGCTCTTTTATCGAATTCCATCTACCAAGGGTTCTTTTACGTTCACGCCAATGTGTACACGGGGCCTCGGTTTTTCGTTCCATCCGAACCACTATACGTTGTCCCTTGCCAGGCCCTGACAAGCGGGAACCACTCCAGAAAATCCAGATGAACTTCCTTGGGTGTATAAAATGTTACGAAAGTGTGCCGCAGATTCATGTTTAAAATAACTATAAACTGTATTCCATTTTCCAGTTGCCTTGAGATGTTTATGGACGCTTGTTTTTGATGATGACATCAAAAAGAAAGTAGTTGATGAGCCCGGTATGGTTGATTTTCTTGATGGAAAACGGCGATCACCAGATGAAGAAAATAAAGACGATACAAAACTTTGCCATAATATCCTATGGACTCTACGAGATACTCTAACAAAATCTGGTAGATATGAAACAATTGGTGAGTACCTAGAAGATGTTCCAGCTTTGTTTAATGCATGCTATTTGCACTGCAGATTAAAGCCCATCCTGTGTGCTGTCAAATCCTCATCGGGAGCTCGCCAAGGTATATATCTGTCGGTAGTCCATCTCATTAATGCTCGAATGTTGGAACTAGCTTGAAGATAACAAAGGTAACTTCATTAACTCGCTCATCTTTTGTCGATGGTTTGATCAAAACGTGGGTAATCGTCTCCATCATCCAGGCTATTGATGATTAAAACGCATCCCATGTTGTCATTGATTATACATGTACTTCCATCGATAACATTCTGAGGGTCAATATGAGCATCCCCTGTATTTATAAGATCACTTGTAGCAACCTCTAATAATACCTGTTGTTGTTTTGATATGTGTATTATGAATTTTTTCCATTGCCATCCAAAATCATTACTGTAGGAAAAGAAATGAGTGTGGTTTCAGTGGACGATGGTTGCAAAGAAGGCGATTTCCAAAATTTAACGGAGGAAGAACAACCTGTTGGCCAGATAATGATGAGTTATACTTTGGATAAACAGGATTCAGTGATACAAATACGAGATCAACTCAAGGCTAACAATTTTAGGGTATGGATGGATAACGAAGCATCAGCTCTTGAGGCGATGATCAAAGCTGTTGATACAGCTAAGATTGTAATCATGTGTGTCTCTCGAAAACACAAAAACAGTGAAAAATGCAGAGCTGGTAAGTACGTCTAACTCATTTTACGGTATGGTATTCAAGACAAAAACGTTTAACCTCAGAATTTTTAAAACTAATGCAATGATTTTAGCGTGGAGCTTACTGTCGTCATCCCTGGTCGTCTATCCATTTGAGCACAATTCCGATTAGGGCTGCACAAAATCGAGTTTTTATATACACTGTATATGGATTGTTCGTCTATCGCTTTAAAGAGAACTCTAATAGAAATTAAGATCCCGACCTGGGTGGGGATGTTCCTGGGGGTTTTGCTGGCCGTTTTCAGCTAGTCATTGGACTTTAAGCCTAGATTTAGTTATTAGATTTGGTACCTGCCACTGATAACCTGTAAATCTTTTAGTCTTTAAAATATCTTTGGAACTTGATTGGTAGTGTTTTGAAGAAAACTAGACAATCTACAGATCATGTTTAGGGATCTGAATTGTCTTGTTATCTTGTAAATTGTATTTTTATGGAAATGTATGACATACATGTTTGTAGGTTTCGTAATATTAAACTCTACTGAATCAATGGTCTGGGTTATTGATATTGGAAATGAAATGAAATGGGGTTTAACGTCCTACTGTTTTGCTCCGAACTGGGCTAATGAAGACGGGCATACGCCATACAGTGTGCTATGAGGGAAATTGTGCCCGGAAAGCGGCACTACGGCCTACTCTTATATCGAATTCCAACTGTCAAGGGATCTTTTACGTGCACGCCAATGTGTACACGGGACCTCGGTTTTTCGTCTCATCCGAATGACTAGACAGCTGTCCTTGCCAGGCCCTCCGTCCTGCATCACTGACAAGGGGGAACCACGCCGGAAAATCTGGATGAACTTTCTCGGCCAATGCAGGGATCGAACACCCGACCTCCAGGCTAGCGAGCCAGCGCCTAACCCACTATTAATATTGGTGAAAATATGCGAACAAAATAAAATAAAGATTAATTTATTTTAATATGATTTAAGTAAAACCCAATTTTTTCATGAATGTGGACTGTCTCTTCCAGCGGCCGAATATGCCATTCAGAAGAAAAGAAGGATTATACCCGTACTGATGGAATCAAGTTACAAACCAGACGGATGGTTGGGAATTATTTGTGGAGAAAAATCATGGTATGATTTCAGTGATGGCCAGTTAACAAATTCAAACATGGAAGGATTTCTAAAAGCAGTGAAAAATGTCAATGTCTTGAAATAATCTATGTTACTTTACGTTAATCCACAAGCCGCACCATAATATGACTACGAAAAGGTTTTAATGGATGTGATTCAGTTAACTTAAATTTGTAATGGTTTCATTGATTATGGTTTTATTGGTGCCAATGAACAAACATAATGCCAACAAGACTTTTATTTATTGGTGCCAATAAGCAGGCATAATGCCAACATGATTATGATTTATTATGATTCTATTGATGTCAATAAACAAGCACGGTGCCAACATGATTTCGATTTATTGTGATTTTATTGGTGCCAATAAACAGGCATGATGCCAGCATGATTTTAATTTATTAAGAGTTTATTAGTGTCAATAAACAAGCATGATATCAACATGAATATAATGATTTTTGGTGCCAATGAACAAGCACGATGCCAATGTTTTCGATTTATTGTTATTTTATTAATGTCGATGAACAAGCACCTACTCCAATATTTGATTTATTTGTGCCAATGAACAAGCAGGATAGTAACATGCTATTTATTTTAAATATATAATCGATAAAAGAACATGTTAACGTTTATTTCAATACAAATGTATTTTAAAATTCACTTTTATTTATCACGATAACGATCATACAAGTCATATAAAAGTGTTTTAGCCACCATGTTCTTTTTTTTTAAAAAAAAAATAAATAAAGGCTGAATCATTTTATTTGGCTTTCACAATTTTAAAATTCACTTTCATTCACCATACTAACGAGAAGTTAATTGATTAATGTTGTTTAATTTTAATAGACAAACAGGGTGCCACCGTGGTCCATTTATTGTAAAAAATGGAATCATTGTAAACAACTTTCACAATTAAAAATGTATATTAAGGATAGCTTCCCATAAATGTATGAAGAGTTATAGATATTGTTTTGTTTCATCTACGTCAATGATAATAATATATTAAAGCTGAATATCATCATGATGCTACTTGGACCGACCACAGGACATCTCTAACACAACTCAATATCGGGCGGTGCCGTGTGTTCTAGATAGAGTAAGCATACGCAACCTCTCGCACTTCACTTATTACAACCTATAGTTATGACAATAAATGGTTATGGTGATAATGTGTCCCATTGAATGCATAATGAAACATAGATGTGATTTGTCATGCCCCTTATTACGCCCACCAGAAGCACGGTTAGAAAGAAAGCTTGCAAAATATTATTACGGACTAACATACAGTTCAGTCTTATTTCAATAATTCGCTTAGCTGTGGGAGGAAACCGGGGCCACGGAGAAAACTCACGGTGTCGGGCGAGCAATCCTACCCCTTGGCACGTACAAGTGTGGGCTCCAAACCACGCCACTTAACTAATTGACAGACCTTATGCACTAAAGTGCACGCGTTAGACCACACGCCCCCCCCCCAATAAATCGGGTGGATAATTCAACGATTTCAATATAAAGAAATTTCGTGACGGGGTTCCGACATAAGGACCAAAAAAATGAAATGAGAGGGAATTAACTTCCTATTATTCTGCCTCATCCGGGTTAATGAAGACGACCATGCGCCATGAAGTGAGATTTCCACGGGTAACTGCATTTCCGACTTATCATCATCGAATACCAACTGCCAAGGGGTTCCTTTGCGTACACATGCCTTGTTTTTTAGCCCCATCTGAACGAATCTAGCATCGAAAATCCCGATGAACTTTCTCGGCCAACACCAGGGTCGAAACCGCCTTTTTTTTTTTTAATCAAATTCCAACTGTCAAGGGTTCCTATACGTGCACGTCTCGGTTTTTCGTCCCACCCGAATGAATCGGTCCTGTGCCACTGACAAGGAGAAACCAGTATACCAGTATCGAGAAATCCTGAGAAACTCTCTTAGTTAACAACTTAACACCGGGATCGAACCCCGACCTGTATCATAATCACCGAGACATCATGTTTTCCTGACTCAAATGAACAAAGCCACTAAAATAAAGGTTCATTGAAAATATTTCTAACATTCGATTGTTTTCTTCGTATACCGTACTTAAATATTTGATATCGGACTACATTAATTTGCTAATGAATTTTAAATTTTTAATGAAGTGAATATATTCAGTTAGTGGCCGAGAAAAAAAAAGATTTTACACAAAGGTGACAAACGATTATGCTAGATTATTTGCCGGCGCGAGATGAAACCGGTAGAACAGCATTGATAATATGGTATTCATTGCCTATTTAATATGGTTTCCAGGGTCACGGCGTACACGGAAACGGCTAGGTCAAAAATGTGAAAAGATCTTTAAATGCCCCTCTCTTCTTTTATTAATTTAGTTGGCCAACACACGATTATTTTGCGCTATGGGTATTTTTTGTTCTGTTTTTTTTTTTTTTTTTGTCGGGGGGGGGGGGGGGGTAATAGTGTCCATATTGACTGACATATTTAGAAAAGTGGGACAACCCATCAGGATTAAGTTTTGGCATTATATGTTCCCTGTATATCATCGAATTTTGTTTTTTACGCCAAACATATTTACCCAGGCCTTATTTTAATCAAGAAAATGTTTAATGCCCTGATGTGTCGTCTGCTATTGTATCGTACGGCCGGTTACAGTTCAAAATTTGCAATAAATTAACTTCAACCTTCGACAGGCCGAAAAATGATAGGCTACGAAATAAAAACTTTACGGTTTTTTTCCTATTTCCGAATTTAGGGGATATCTTATTACATGTGGGGTGCAAAACATAAACTTTGAACAGGTTTATGCATGATTTAGCTTCATAATCTTATTGTCTTTGAAAAATTAAGCGGCATGCTTTGACTTGTCAACCGCGAATATAAACAGAGTTACTTTACTTATGATTAAAGGTGGCGCACTTTCCACTGTTGTCCAATCAAGTTGAAGCGGGTTCTAAAAATTCAAAGATGGTGGAAAATTCATCGAATTTATAACATTTGCAATATATTTATGAAAAAATCAACAGAAAAACTGTAATGACCCTTACAAAAACTTTGACTTACAGAATCATGGATATTAAGTCATCGCTCAGAAGCTATGTCAGTCGCAAAAAGGGTATATTTGTTATATTTTTCTATACAGGAACATCATCAGTAGTGAGAAAATCTATGTTTATAATTTACACTTTTACAGTTTATATATGTCATATGGACTTTTCCTTCAAGTTTATTAATAATGAGATCTAGACAGTCTTTTATTCTAAATTTCTATTTAAAATTCTTAGGCCTATTATCCAACTGTGGCAGCGGAAGGTATTTCCTTTTGTTCTGACATCAGAAAAATTATCATTCGTGCCTTTTGAATCAGGTTGAATTGATGCATAACATTGGCAGAAGCTTAAACTTATATCAGAGGCACAGGGTGCATACTATATACTTTATTTCTGAATTAGTTATTTTAGAAACGGATATTCTTATTGCTTCGCTCTTTATCCGTTACAGACACATGCTCTTATACAACTAATAAATGTGATAAGAAGACTTTTCCCCCATCTCAGTTCAAAGGCTATTTTGTAATCCTTACGTCTATTTTTCACCGTGATTCTTCTTTCATCATCAAGAGAAACCATTTCTTGCCATATCTGACACAAATTTATAATAATCCAACACTATTTTCATGTAGAATTGTGCGATACAAAAACACAAACAACATTCATTTGAATTTGTACGACATTATCAAACTCACAACTGCACAAACCGGTTCATACATTAGCTGCGTTGAGCCAATATTCCAGATTTTGGAATGGAATTTTACCACAAACATGATTCTTTTTTAAGGTTTTTTTTGTCACTTCAGTAGCCTACATGTAAGTAGCCTGTCACTCTTAATTATCCACGTCACACATGACTATCTATAGGTACACAAAAACTCTTAAATTGTTTTGATCCTTTGAACAGAAGTATGACAAGTTTTCATGAGCTGTACATTGTAATATCACCACAGGGTTCAAAAGCATCACTTTGTATGTCATTGCATGTACATGTATATCAACAGATGCTACATGAGGTTGTGAATAGTATTTTACTCCAACTGAATGTTTTATTATATGTACTATTTACTGTCAAATAAAATCACACATTTTGACCTGCTTAATTATTGTGTTAATATTTATGAAAATATGGATATTTTTGTATTTTCAAGGTCAGAAATCTGAAGAACGAGACAATAAGGAAGAAGAAATGGAAATGTTTGATCAGCTGTATAGAGAATGGAAAGGTGTAAAAAATAATTGTAAATATTTACCAAGTCTGTATACAAAGGTAAGTACTGAGTGATAAACTTACCACTTGTCACTTAGGCTACTCTAAAGAGAGAATGACATTGTTTCATAGCAGGTTCACAAAGCTCACAGTTTTGTTTTCATCTTTTTAGGTTTTATTTTGGTGCATATGTTTTCAGATATTGCTGATAAGGGCTTTATGGTAATTAAATGAAATGGGGTGTAATGTCCTACTGTTCTAATCCGAACTGGGCTAATGAAGACTGGCATACGCCATACAGTGTGCTATGAGGGAAATTTTGCCCAGACAACGGCTCTAACTCTTATATCAAATTCCAACTGTAACAGGATCTTTTACGTGCACACCAATGTGTACACAGGACCTCAGTTTATCGTCTCATCCAATTGACTAGAGAATTGTCCTTGTCAGGCCCTCCGTCCTGCATCACTGACAGGGGGGAACCCCGCCGGAAAATCTGGATGAATGTTCTCGGCCAATGCAGGGATTGAACACCCAACCTCCAGACTAGCGAGCCAGTGTCTCACCCACTTAGCCACTGTGACCCCTAAAGGGGCTTTACTGTCTGCACCTTTAAAGTAAGATACTCGTTAATTCTGTCTCTGACTTGTCACTATCAGTGTGATGAAAGGGCTGTTGATTTACACATACTTTCAACAAATTGATATATTACAAATTATGTACAATTTATAGTCTTTTGTACCTTTACCTAAAATGAAGATCTATCTTGTGATTATTTTAGCTACCAACAACCGATGAACCATTGTTATTGAAATTAAGAGAAGATTCTAGAACCAATTTTTTACAGCGTAGAAGTCAAGAAATATTAGAAAATGATGAATTACAGGTAGAAGACAAGTTTGCAATCCTTTTACTGAGTTTAATGGTGACATGATGTACAATGTATTCATATTGTAATTCTGTCAACTTTGATTCCCCGGTTATAAGTGACAAGGAGTAGGGTCGCCTGTCCAACCCCGTGGCTTTTCTCCTGATTCTCCGCTTTCCTCTCACTGCTAAAGACCTGTATGCGCAAGCGAATTATTGAAATAAAATTGAACCATGTTTTAGTCCCGAAATGGCCTGATTTGTGTCGAGTGGACGTTAAAACCCCATTTCTCTCTCATATTTGTCAACTGCAATAACACTACAGGCACTACACTGATTTCAAGGATGTGATTAAAGATCGAGCATGATATTGAGCATGAAGCAGGTTGTGCTTACTCTTAATGGAATGTTTCAATCACCAATGTTTCTGCCAAAGACCAGTTGGCACGTATTTTTAACTTCTATGATTGAAATCTACCGGTACATGTATCATCTTTCTGTACCCAGATGCCACAGTATATTATTCACCACAGCTTCTCTATAAAAGAATTTGAATGTAAGTTTTAGTCTTATGATAATAGTTTGATTATGAGTATTAAGTTTGTAGTAATTACTTTTATTTTCAGAAATTATGGTTTTTATTAGATAAACATCACACACCTCCTGTATTAGACGGGGAACAAATGATTAGTTATGAAGATTTTCTTCTTGTATCAGAAAAAGCTGGGGCAAAGTGCAAGTAAGTATGCAAATCATATTCCAGACAAAACAATTTTCATTTCTCTGCGACATGAATTATTTGATGTTTCATTGACCAGCTATTAGTTAAATGTAAATAGTCACTGAATCTTTATATAATACTGTCAACAACATTTTGTCAATAAGATAGAATATATATAACATTACTACAAAAACATTATTATTATCAGATCAATTTACATGCATTCTGTCTTGAGGCAAAAGCAACAATTTATTTTTGGAAGATAAGGAAATTCAGTGAAGCTGATTTTTTAGTAGTGTAGTAAAAGATATTATTTTGGGGACTGACATCTGATCAAAACTAGTCACAAGACTGATCTATACATGAAAAAATTCGCAAAAGTGGACGAAGATAACACAGCAGACCGAAAATATGTACACTACTTTAATAACTCAAATTTATATAGTATAAATTTATAAGATGTGCTACGCTGACATGCTCTACTAAGTTAGTAAACTATTTTGATATTTTTCAGATCTTTTTTTAATCCATCAGTATTTTGTAAATTAGTTCAAACAGATCCATATGGTAGAATCTCCATTATGCAATTTTTTAATTATATTATGAGAAAGGTGTGGTTACATCAAACTAGAATAGGTTTAGCTTTATATGATGTTGCCGGTCATGGCTATCTTAGAGAATCTGTAAGTTAATTTTATTATTTCGAAAGACCAATAATCAGGCCATGTATCTGGTTCTCAGATAATCCTGTGTCATTTAAAAAAGGGCTGCATGATCTTGGCCCTGTTTCTCGGAATCTTAACTAAAGATATAATCCAAATTTTAGTAGATACTTCAATTTTGATTGGCTAAGGACTTATATTTAAATCAATCTAATATTATCCAATCAAGTTACTAAAATTCGGATTTTATCTTAGTTAAAATTTCATGAAACAAGCCCCTGTTTTTATTCCCAAATACACTCTCATTAATCACAGGAAGTAACTCTAGAAAAAATTGGAATGAATCCAGGAATGTGCAATAAGCTCATATGTCAAATATACAACCCTGATATATGTTACTGACAATCATTGATAATAGTAGATTATACAGTACATTCCTATAAATAACATGATGAAATAATTTAATGTAGTGACTTGAAATAATAGGTTATGTAAAATCATCTAGCCCAGTAGTGATCCTTTGACAAAATATAGACACAAAAATAGAAACCTCCCTTCTGCATCATATTTTTGGTAAAGATTGTCTAAGAATCTGGATAGTTATTTTTGTATGGCCTAATTTTCCTTACTAAAATCTAACAAAAGTAGGGCTTGAAAAGCCTTCATTGCATGTACTAAAATTGTAGGTCTAATGTTAATGGATAAAAATGAACAATCTATCTATTGTGTCTTAATATGATAATATTTTGTTACTGTTTTTGTACTTACAGGATTTAGAGAATTATATATTAGAACTTATACCAACACTGCCACAGGTAAGTGCACATAAACTTAATAACTTTTTTAAAGCTACAAATAATTTTGGATATTTCATGACAAGTTCAGCCAGAATAATTAGGCTGGAATAAATAAACCTTTTTTTGCATGATAATATGCATTTCTCATGAATTAAAAATAAAATGATAGACTTGAATTCCTTTGCTTACTGTACCGGTCCACAAACAATTAATTTATTGTCGACAGCTTGTTGAATTTATACAGATTTTTAATACTGCTGAAATATTTATGAACTGTTCTGTTTTTGTTAATACTGTTGAAATCTTTACGAGCTGTTCTGTTTTTTAATACTTTTGAAATCTTTACCAGCTGTTCTGTTTTTAAAACTGTTGAAATCTTTACCAGCTGTTCTGTTTTTAAAACTGTTGAAATCTTTACGAACTGTTCTGTTTGTGAAACTATTGTATGACTGAGATGATCGTGAACTACCATTTAATAATTAGCACACAAGAATTTGTCTATTTTATTAATATTTTTATTATTTTAGTTAAATGGTTTAGAGAAATCTTTCTACTCTTTTTATGTGTGTACAGCAGCTAGAAAATTCTTCTTTTTTCTCGATCCTATAAAAACTGGTAAAATAAAGATAGTTGATATATTGACCTGTAGTTTCTTAGATGATTTTTTAGAGGTAAGTGTACATTTTGTCTATGCTAGCCAGTATAATCTGTTGTCTTTAATCATACTAACTGTTGAATATGCATAGTAATATGCGTAATACCTAATTCAACTCTCTAAGCATGATCTGAGCGATATAGGAATCCTTGCAAATTGCAATATTGGTAAAGTTGAATCTCTAATATGAATATCAGTCCCAAAATGATTCAATTCTATTCAATATTTAAAAAGATATGATCTGCTGTAATATCATCAATCTATACAGACCCTAACTTTTATGTTTTTTAATATTTCAGTTACGTGACGAGGAATTGTCTAAAGAATTCCAAGAATCTAACTGGTTTTCTGCCCCTTCGGCGCTACGTGTTTATGGCCAGTATTTAAATTTAGATAAAGACAGAAACGGAATGTTAAGTAAAGAAGAATTAGCAAGGTGAGTTTATTATCTTTCGCCGAGCTACAGCATACACAGGAGTAAATCCACTCTAAACAATAAATTGTCTTGTATGGCTTTTAGTTACTCTTGTTTTAATAATCTACTTTAATATTTTGGTGACACCATATTCTACACGACTTCTAAACATGTAATATTTAAAAGAGAATCAATATTTTTTTATGGCATACAGTATGTCTGAAAATTCTTAGGAATAGCTGTGACTTCTTTAAAACCAATTCTAGGGTTTTATGACTTTCCAGAATCGTAACCCTATGATTAAATTTCTTTATTTGTGGTTATATCAGCCTAAAGGTTGTTTAGACTTGAAATGGGTTCCTCAGCAGTTTTAATTAGTATAATTCACATCCACTAAAGGACTGTTTGGTTTTGAAGAGAGTTCAAATATAAACTGAATGAATAAATAAGTAAACAGAAAATAATATTATTGATATGTTTGGTTTGTAATGGGGATCAGAACTAATCTGATACATGCCATCAGTGAGGAATGGGGTTACGTTTTGAGCACCTTTTCCGTATTATTTTATTACAGATATGGAACTGGCACATTAACAGATGTATTTTTAGACCGAGTGTTTCAAGAATGTTTAACATATGAGGGTGAAATGGTAGGTATATATGTTGAGGAATTCATTATAGTTGAAATCATGTATTCTTATGCAAATTAAGTAAAGGGGTAAATTGTTGATTGCAATTTGAAGATACCGATTGGAATGTTGAAAGTACAGTACAGATTGTTATTTGACAGTACACATCAAATTTATAAAATACATATTGCAAGTACATGTGTGTATTGCAATTTATGAAAGTACATATTGCAATTTATGAAAGTACATATTGCAATTTATGAAAGTACATATTGCAGTTTATTAAGTACAAATTGTAATTTAAAAGTACATATTACAATTTATTAAGTACATATTACAATTTATTAAGTACAAATTGTAATTTGAAAATACAAATTGTAATTTGAAAATACAAATTGTAATTTGAAAATACAAATTGTAATTTGAAAATACAAATTGTAATTTGAAAATACAAATTGTAATTTGAAAATACAAATTGTAATTTGAAAATACAAATTGTAATTTGAAAATACAAATTGTAATTTGCTGTATTTGAAGGTAAATACAATTCAATATTTATATTACAGGATTACAAGGCATACCTAGATTTTGTTTTAACAATGGAGAATAAAAGAGAATCTCAGTCATTAAGATATTTATTCCGAATCCTTGATATCAACGGTGCTTCTAGTCTTAATGTATTTTCATTAAATTATTTCTTTAGGGTAAGTCAACTCATTGAGTGTGTGGATAAAACTAAAACTTCTGTAGAGTTATGAAACTCACATTTAATTTGGATGATTATTGTTGTTACCTGCATCCATTATAGTTTATTTTCTTGTGAATGCTCTTCACAATATCATTATTTTCAGAGGAATTTTTCACATGGTCGCATGGAAGAACAATATAACTCTTTATTTTATAACTACATGCAAATACAAGCAAATATCATTGAATACAGCCAGCGAATAACCTATGGTTGTATTCAATGGCTTGAAAACGTACTACTTTTATCCAGAATGACGTCACTTTCAGAATTACGTCAAACAGTAATGACGTCAACACTAGGCAACTACAATTTTTGTAAAAAAGTAAGAAAAAAGGGCGGAACCTATGATGAATTCTAACGTTATTGGTGATGATTTTTTTTTTGTTGATAATCTGGATAGTACAGTGTATTTTGAGATTTGCATGTAGTTATAGAATAAAAACAGAACTCAATGACCATTGGATGTCGCTCGGGTTATTCAATGGTTCACTCAAGTGTATCCCTGCTGTGGAATACTTTTGCCTTTATACACTCTCTTGAACCATTGAATAACCCAAGCGGTATTCAATGGTTATTGAGTTCCATCTATATATTATAGCCCCGAAATAACCTTGTTTTCTTTGAGTGGACATAAAACACCATTTCTTTCTCTCTCTCTTTCTCTATTTAAATGATTTCGTTATCTCTCCAATTATAGACCGGGAGCCCAGGGGGTCAACCTAGCTGAAAAGTGTACCAATTTTCTCCTATATGGTATCAATGTATGTATATCTGGTATCATCAGAATGTAAGTCTGCCAGGTTTCTGGTGGTGGGTGTGGTATTCCACGCCGTAAATGCCATGACCCCCAACTAGGGTAGATTAGCTCAAAAGTGTACCAAATGAAAATCGTACAGCAGTGTACCATATTCACCTTCAGGTATTACAAAAACATTCTGACAGACATTTCTAGTGGTGGGGTACCCCTGACAGAGCTATGTAATTGCCAGACATTTGTAGTGGTGGAGTATCCCTAACAAGAGTTATCTAATATTTAGACCAAAGCTAGGCTAGATTAGCTCAAATCTGTACCACCTAAAACAGCTTTGAAGTTGTTCAGTACCACCACAGGAGTCATGAATGACCACTGCCAGACAGTTTGTGCGGTGGGTTACCCCTAACAGACACGCCCCAAAATGCCACGCCCCCAACTAGGCTAACTTCGCAAGCACTGTTCCCGTGTTTTAAAAAATTAAATTTTTAGCCAGGATGCGTAGAATACTAATACCTAGCACATATGGAAGAGGCGATAAACTGCGGTTGCAAGAAATTGATTTTTGGGAAAAAAACGTTTTATGGGGATTAAAATGCGTTTTTGAAAAAAAAAAATGTTCCTGCAACCGCAGTTTAACGCCTCTTCAATACGTGCTAGGTATTAGTAATCTACGCATCCTGGCACAATTTTTAAATTTTTGGACCACGGGAACAGTGCCGACTAATCTATCCTAGTTGGAGGGTGTGACATTTTGGGCGTGTCTGTTAGGGGTAACCCACCGCACAAACTGTCTGGCAGTGGTCAAACATGATTCCTCTCGTGGTACTGAACAACTCCAAAGCTGTTTTAGGTGGTACAGATTTGAGCTAATCTAGCCTAGCTTTGGTCTGGAAATTTGATAACTCTTGTCAGGGATACTCCATCACTACAAATGTCTGGCAATTACATAGCTCTGTCAGGGGTACTCCACCACTAGAAATGTCTGTCAGTGTGTTTTTGTAATACCTGAAGATGTACGGTACATTGCTGTGCGATTTTCATGTGGTACACTTTTGAGCTAATCTAGACTAGTTGGGCGGCATGGCATTTTGGGCGGGGAATCCCACACCCACCACCAGAAACCCGGCAGACTTACATTCTGATGATACCAGATATACATACATTGATACCATATAGGAGAAAATTGGTACACTTTTCAGCTAGGTTAACACCCTGAACTCCCGCTCTATTACTTCAAAGTTATTAATGTCTTTGAACACTATGTAGTCCAAGGTTTTGGTTGATTGTTTTCTGTCCAGTCCTTAATTGTTTTTAGGATATCATAAGTAAATGTATATTTCAGGCAATTCAAGAAAAGATGAAGTTACATGGACAAGAACCTGTTTTATTTCAAGATGTAAATGATGAAATATTTGATATGGTTAAACCAGCTGATCCACTTAAAATAACATTAGAAGATTTGATCAATTGGTAAATATGCTTGTAATACTTGTAACAGCCATGATTTCATAATTTCCCTAATGTTCAGAGATGAAGTACGAGGGCTGACTGAGAAGAAACAAACTTCTGCCACCAACATGTACAATCATTGAATGAATTATAGACATAAGAACTGCAACTGTAGTGTTATTATTGTCTTTGTACCAGATCATTTTGTGAACCTACCCATTGAAATCATCAGAAATGGACAAAACTGGCTATAGAGCAGTCATCAAGTACCAGTAAATGAAAGGACTAACCCCATATATTCAGATAAATCATGACTTGATGTATTTTATAAGTCTAATTTTGTCTTGTTATTTACATCCTGATTTTACCAACACAATCAAACGTGTTTCTTGTAATTGAATGGTAGAATTTTGAAATTTCAATATTTTGAATTTGATTTCTTCGTTTAATTTCAGTGGAAAAGGTGATACAGTTGTCAGTATTCTCATAGACTTAAATGATTTCTGGACTTATGAAAATAGAGAATATTTAGTACCCGAGATTAGTGATGAGACGGACATCTGATCATGTCCATATAAAACATTCCAGAAAACTACACAGTTGATTTGAAAGGGTTGGTGCTACCCAGTTGTCAAATTTTGAAAGGGAAATGAATGAATACATATTTTTGTGTCACAAGTAAAGTTTAAATGCTCATACATGTATAACTACATGTATTTAATGTTGTCATCATCAAACTTTGGAAGAATTGTGTTGTTAACAGTTAACATCTGTGATAACTTGCTACACAGTATACTTCAGTAAATCCTGTACAGTACATATACTGGTACTAAGTACAGTAATACAAGTATATGGTGTACTGATTAGTCACATTAGTAAATTGTGTACTAAGTACAGTATGCATTTTAAGCATTAACAGGTACAGTAAACGAGTTAATCATTTATAGGTACAGTAAACGAGTTAATCATTTACAAGTACAGTAAACAAGTTAATTATTTACAAGTACAGTAAACGAGTTAATCATTTATTCTACAATAAACGAGTTATCCGTTTACAATAATGCTAGTAAATTGTGTTCTACATGTATGTACAGTGCAAGTACAGTAATACTAGTAAAGTGAGTAATGATAATATTACTGGTAAATTGTGTACTGGTACAGTGATAATAGCAAATTGTGTACTGGATTCATTATACTACTAGTAAATCATGTACAGGTATATTATGTTTGTAAATAATGCATGGCTCAAGAACACAGAATATAACAAGATTGTTAACTTTATTTTATATGTTCTTTGACTATTATGGGACTGAGATTCGTGTGTTTATGTATTTGCTGTGTTTTTACGACATATATACAGACATTCCACTACCATTCTGTTCTTTGTCTTTCTTATCTTCTACATGTATCTAAAAGATTTATTATATTTTGCCTTAAAGTAGCTAAGTCTCTAACTCAATATCATCCAAAATCTTCAACATTGAAAACATGATTTATTTGTCAAATTAAATCAACATTCATGTTGTGATCTTACCGGAAAAAGATGTGCTTTTGATATCCAATATTAAAGACAAAATAAACATTTTACCATTGGTACACGAATCATGTACCATAATGCGCTTCAGCCCCGGTTGTATCAAGAGACTCGAGGGACGAGGCTAGACACATTGCACCAAATCAAACGGCGCATTTAGACTGTAATAACCAGACGCTAGATATTTGCACTCAATTGAGACTTCTGGCTTATTTCGCCGAACATAACTGATTTGAAATTGGAATAAAACGGAAACCATTGAATGTAAATCAGTTTATATACATTCATATTACAGTATTATATGCGTTGCGACCCACTTTTGTGAATTTCTAGGTCTCAAATGTTAGCGATTTAGCGCCTTTAAATACTGTCAAGAAAATTAAAGCATTAATCATAATTTCCTACTTCCCCAAAAATATATTAAAAAATGTTATTAATTTGTTCAAATGTTCTGTAGAAATGTCTAGTTGTTTTAAAGCGGAAATTTCAAATTTTTAAGTTATATTTTTAATATTTATTAAAATAAAGCCTTAAAATAGATGGTATCCATAAACAGTCCTACCTTGTTAAAGAATAATCCTATTAATCCTATAATTCACTATTGCCAGCTGAGAAATTGGCAAAAATATCATTTTCAACTTCAAATTCCAACGTTGAGGAAATGGCTGACCATTGTTTTCAATAGGAAAACAAGGGAGGTAATTCTGTTGTTATTTCCTGTGTAAATGAGTTTTAAGTGTGAGAATGACACCTATGATCGTATAATAGTGAGTTGACTTATGTTTTGACTTTCTTAGAAAAAATGAAATTCTCGATTTAACAAAAGTTCTAACCTGTAACCATGTTTCAGTTCCGTCCATACATGCGTTCTGGCTCTGGGTCAGTAAAAGTTAAGTAATTTCATACTGGTCATCCTGTCATATGATTTGTTTATACGACAATTGGGGCAATCACGGAACAAGGAGGAATCAAGGGCTATTATTTATTAGACTACACCTTTGTTTGGGGAAGATTAAAGGTGAAAGAAGATTCACTGCCAATTGATGTTTTATCAGCCTACAATTAGTCATGTGTTTTTCTGGGTATATTTAATGTAAAATAAATGGTTACTAATACAGTAAAGATATAGCCTACTGAAACAAAGATGTGTGTCCAATATTAGATTAAAGCAGTATACACATTAGCCAAATCAATTACCGCTGAAATTCACCTAGTTTGTCCAGTGTCATTCGCCTGATTTTTAGAATTCATTACCCGATCACCGCTGGTGTCGAGTAGTCTCAGTAATTTCGGGAAGTCTCAGGATTGTTTAAACCATGGTCGCTGCCATGATTAATCATGTGACGCCAAAGGTGATGCAATCGACTGGGGAATCGGACAGAGAATTCGCCTAGTGTATCCACTAATTCGGTTGTATGGATTAGGCTGCCATTCGGCGTCCATTGATTCGACCGATTAATTTGGCTAGTGTGTCCACCGCTTTAGGTATAAGCTAAAGCTTTGGGCCTCAAAAAACTTCAGATGTATTTCCTTTTGAAATGGCATAAATTGCTATAAAGTAATCCAAAGGCGTCCTCTGACCACCCGAAATATCATAGTCTAAATCTGACACAGTATTTGATATTTCTCTTTGAATCACAATTCATTATCATTTATCAAAACTATAGATGTTTTATGTATAAATAATATTGTTGTGATAATTACAAATAAACTTATAAATAGTTAACGGTTATTATATGATTTTGTTTAACACCCAGGGGAAAAAAAACATGGTTAAAATATATGTTAAAGGTCCTTTAAAGGTTGTTCCCAAATCATAATGAACACCTAAAATTCTTAGTTTGAGAAACTTGTTAGACACCAGGGAAAATATTTGTCAATAATTTACTTTCAATTTATTTTTGTACGCGGCAATGTGTCTTTAAATATAACTTCAGCTTATTGCTCACTTGATTGATTACGGGTGTATACTTTGTGATTGCACCGACTCCCGAATTAAAATATTAGGTTTTTTTTTTATAAATTCGGTGGAGGTCCGGGCCCCTGGCATTTTGCCAACGCTCAATGGATCTGACACTACTGTTTTTTGGTTGTTTTTTTTTTTTTTTTTTAAAAACAATATTTTATTGAGAAATTGAACAGGATTGAGGAACAGGCATAGCCTATATGACCGACCACACAGTTTTATTGTGAAAAGCTGCACCATGGAGAAATCATATAAGACCAGTTCACAAAAACACCTAACAATAAACAGAAACACGATAATTGTGTGTATGGGATGGGTTAGCAAGTTTGTCTCGGCGGCGTACATGATAGGAATTAGCCAGAACCATAACGTTAATTTTCAATGTCTGAAGTACTTTTGGGGTTGGGTTTCTGGTGGTGGTAGTTTGTTGCTCAGCTCTACCGTCATGTAAATGATAACCGTGATCGTTATTGTCAGCTTTATTATTCAAATTTTCCTTCATATTTTTTATCAGCACAGGAACAAGAGGGGAATGAACCACAACACGGCTGAAGCCAGGGCTTCCACAATATTCTGCTTAAATCCATTTGATATGGCTGTGGTATAATTGAGTTTTTATGATCATCCATTGCTTTTAGCATAATGTTGACAATTTCTGGATATCTGGAGAGGTCTAGTGGTCGTAATTCAGACGGATCTGACGTCATATCGTATAAAAGAGGCGGGTCATTCACAACCACATCTCTACAGTTACATACAAACCGACACACCTGTTTTCCAGGTAGATAATTCGGGGATCTAACAGCCAACTTCCATACTGACAAACCTGGTAAAATATATAAATAAATCATCAACTGGCGATTAAGTTTGACTTGGCCCTCTAAAGCAAATGAGGTAATTTAACAAAATATCCATGTATCGACTACTATTGACTGGGCCCTCTAAAGCAAATGAGGTAATTTAACAAAATATCCATGTATCGACTACTATTGACTGGGAGGGGCTGTGGCGACAGCAGGATAAATGGTATGGGAGTAGGGGTTGTTCCTCCTCCTCCTCCCGGGGGATTGGATGGCCGAATGGTTAGCACGCGCGCGCTCTGTCACTTTCGACATACCGTTTATCCTTAACATCAATACAAATTAAAACAAATGTCAAAAGAAAAACAAATTCAAAACTTGCCCCCAGTTTCCGATGCTATGACTGGTATTCTGGTTGCGTTTTTATCCTAATGATAAATGCTCAGAATGCTTATTAAAACAAGAACTCGCCCAAAAAAGGGCGCGGCTTTAGCATAATGCATTTTCGGTATCCTCCCTTGTGAACACAACGACTACCGCTGTGAGAAGCTCGATCAATATCATTACCAGCAATTTCCAATGTTTAAAAGCTGCTCATGATTTGTGATTTGGTGCTGCAACTTACCCTGTCTTGGACGATATCTGATGGCATGTATATCTTCTCCACAATAATGAAACATAAAGTCGTGGGGTGAAACAGTTTCCTTGCCAGATAAAAGAGGTATTATATCTTGACCATCAATATGTAGCTTAGGTTGTAATTTAGTTTGGATGATGTTGGCTATGGTAGGAAAGATGTCCATTAAACTTGTAGGTTCATCAATAACTGTACCTGGTCTTACAACTGATGGATATCTTAAAACAGTCGGCATTCTTATTCCACCATCTACAGCACCATGAGCCTTCCCACCTGAAGTAATCGGTGTTTAGGAGATAACTTAGTCAGATCTGGGTCATTTATCTAGATAATTCCTTTGCAAAGAATTCCACGCCCTAAACAAACAATCAAACCACATAATTCCAGTACCAGTCTGGCCAAATACACGAACCACTACATAAGGCATGAGTATTATTCGACCGTCTAAATGTACAAATAATGCGTATATGACCAATTGCAGTCTAATACCCATCAGTAACGATTACGAAATTTTGCAGAAAGCTGACTTAAAGCAACTTTCCCATTTCGGAGCCGACCATTAACTATTGAACAGGTGAGGATTATATCGCATTGCTAAAACTGGTTTAGTCCAAGCCGGAAATGATTTGAACTGACCCACTGTTTAATAAATCTATCTAAGCAATTACAGTTATCATAGAGCAGGTTCTTACCTTTATAGATACCATTATAACCACCATGAACTTCTCCATCAGCATTTCTCTCCTCCAGGTGACCTCCATTATCAGATGTAAAATACACAAGTGTATTGTCTACTAAATTGAATCTATCCAAGGTATCAAGAATTTCACCAACTCCCCAATCCATCTCTTCCACTGCATCACCGTACCGCCCATGTTTGTTCCTGCCTCTAAACTCTTTTGTCGTATTCAAATAAGTGTGGACTTGGGACCATGATACCATTAAGAGAAACGGTTTATCATCTTTTCGATGATTTTCTAAAAATTCCACGCCCTCATCTGCAAATCTTTTTGTTAATGTAGATAGTTCCATTGGTTGTTCCACAAGTTCCTTATTTCTGTACAACAAACTATTGAAATCTTTATAACGAATTATGTATGCATAATGCAGAGTAAATAGTACCGAAGATATGAAAATAACTAGAACGATATACAGAGCTAGTCCGATCATGCGGGTACTATAGAGACACGTGAAGCAGATGAACAAGACGAGGAATGTGGTGATAAGCTGATGATTCCAGTATGGGAAAATGGATTTCATTAAACTTTCTCTAGCGTCGCTTCCAAAATCTTTTAAATTCGTTAAAGGATATCCATAAAAGTAGTCAAACCCTTGATTATTTGGGTGATGTTCGTAGTCTTCCAAGCTGCTCTCACTCCAACCCTGGTGCCATTTTCCTACAACGAGCACAACGTAACATGCATGTCAGTTATCTTGTGAATCTCAATATTAAAGTGGCTGTCATTGACTTGTGAATTTGTGAGTTGCGACCTCGACTCGGCCACTCTCCATGAAGCAAAAATACAGCGTATTAACACAGTCATGTGTCAATCTTGTGTGAATCTCCATTATCAAAATTGTAACTAAATACCTACCTATCAAGGCTGTTGTATATCCTGATGTTTTGGCTAGCTCTGCAAATGTTGTTTCACTTGCAGGTAAACCGCCAGATGACGCCACAAAAATACAACTACGTGCAAATGTTCTGGTAGCCATTCCTGAAATATTTGGTGAAATCTTTCAGTATCACCATGGATCTATTATATACAGTCCATGGTAGCATTGGTCTTAGTTGGCATCACAATTTTGATTCAATGTTAGACTTTAAGGGGGTATACAGATATTTTTTAATATTGTTAAATGTTGGAACAATATGTTCTGCTGCAGTCTGAGAAGACGAAGAGAGTCCAACAATCTACTTAGGGAGCCCAACCGTTTGATTTTCTAACCTGTACGGTTCAAGGACATTATGGAAGACATGGCGATAAAGGTTTGTAAAGTATTCCAAGATCTAAAGCATTGATACGTACCTGAGCGTATTGGATATCGTCCTGTAAGAAAAGCTGCTCTACTAGGACCGCATAGACTTGATGCTGATAAATGGTGAGTTAATTTGGCACCTTCTCTGGATATTCTGTCGATATTTGGTGTTTTAATCGTGGTATTCCCAAAACATCCAACATCGCCAATACCCAAATCATCCGCCATCAATAAAATAATGTTCGGTTTCTTGGCATCAGAAGATATAATAGATAGAAGCATAAATGCAATGTGCATTGTAAAGCAGGATACAGCCATTTTTTTAAACATTCGGGGGATTTAAGTAACTGTAAGAGGAAAAAAGGATAACCAATCTAAATGTTAGAACATTGTTACATACTGTATAAGTATAACCGCCTGGTTCAATTTCATTTCTTAAGTTGTGTGTCGAATCCTCGTGTCCCTAAAGAACAAACTGTTACTTCCATCATAACGTTTCAAATTTTGGGATCAACGTTAGATTATTTTATATGTCTGCCATAAAAGAAAATGTAAAACAACACTTTTTATGAGAAAAGTGTCACGGTCGTGTGCTTTACCCTTTATCATCAGATGGTGGGTTTGGATGGGCATTCAAAGTGCGAGATAATGATATAGACATATGTGATATCACAATTGATGTTTTACATCAGTGAAATTGAATAACAATGTGATCCTATTAATTCATAATAAAATTGACATCAAGCGGGGTGTTGGATTTCTCTCAGTGTGTATATATGCCTACGTAATTTGGGGACGATGATGGCATCATGCATTGTCAACTGTTAAAATTTCCTCAACAGGAACCTGGCAAACCCCCTCCTGCAAAAATTCCTGGGTCCACCTCTATAGCGGTGTTTGATTGACTATTAGTGTAATCAACAGAGTGGTGAATTCGGTTTATTTTTAGTTTTGAACACTTGTCACTTGGGTATTGGAGACCGAATTTAAAGTATTACACATATATAGGCTACACACTTAGAGAGAAGTTGTTTTGTTTTTGCCAAAGTAGTTCCATTCGGTGCACATTTCTATTTATGGATGATGGGCGAATAATATGTATATCAGTGATGCATTTGAGATATCTGTGCATTGATTTTCAATCATTTTCCTCTGTACCCAAACTTCTTAAACTAAATTGCAGATTTACTTAAGATATTTTTATATCAGTACAATGCACATGTTTCTCGTGGCAGTGCAATGTCCTTGGATAAAATTTTAAGCATAATCAACATCGTCGTGCACCGCGCAATCGAAATCGAACGATATCAAGAAAGTAACAAAATAGCCTACATACATACGCTTGTTATATCGGCTACATTCACAATATCATAATAATAAACATCACTTCACAGTAAGTCTAACCACACGGACTACTCCGAACTACAAAAGATTCAAGGTTCTTCCATTAAAACTGTTTTTGATGTCTGTGCTAAATATAACTAGATGAACTGAACGTCGGTCTTGTCTATTTTTAGTAACATTCTTAGTTATGTTAACCCAACCAGTTATAAACTATAACCAGTTATGTTGTTTCTCTGTTCGTAATCACTGATAACACGGTTTAAACAGTTGAAGTATATGTGTTCACAGACCAACCATATTTTACATTTTGTTTGTAACTCGGCGTGATATCGTGTAGGCTTATTTGCATAATTTGAATTATATTATAGTTATAGCGCAGGCCCTAGATGAACACTTCATCCTCTGCCTCGACATTAAAGTAGCTAAGTCTCTAACTCAATATCATCCAAAATCTTCAACATTGAAAACACGATATATTTGTCAAATTAAATCAACATTCATGTTGTGATCTTACCGGAAAAAGATGGGCTTTTGATATCCAATATTTAAGACAAAATAAACATTTTACCATTGGTACACGAATCGTGTACCATAATGCGCTTCAGTCCCAGTTGTTTCAAGAGACTCGAGGGACGAGGCAAGACACATTGCACCAAATCAAACGGCGCATTTAGACTGTAATAACCAGACGCTAGATATTTGCTCTCGCTTGAGACTTCTGGCTTATTTCGCCGAACATAACTGATTTGAAATTGGAATAAAAACGAAACCATTGAATGTTAATCAGTTTATATACATTCATATTACAGTATTGTATGCGTTGCGACCCACTTTTGTCAATTTCTAGGTCCCAAATGTTAGCGATTTAGCTCCTTTAAGTGTGACAATATTAAGCAATATTGCTTGAAAATGTGGTTTAATGTGGGCACTCATACCGAATAAACGCCCATCGGTATACTGTCAACCGGGGAGAAGCCAAGAATGTTAAAAAGGAAGAGAACCATGTCTGCATATTCCCCCTGAAGACAAGATAAAAAAAATTTAAAAAACACCCGACAGAGAGACACATTGTTAATTTATGGGTTAATGGATACATGGCAGGACTTGGCCTGAACGAGCACGTTATATCAATTTTCATTGACTGTGGTAGGCCTACATTTGTAATTCAAAGGCTGGATTTGGGTTTCTTGTGGTAATTTGCACTAACGTTACAAATAGTTGATCCGCTGCCATATAAAAGATCAAAATATTCGTAAATATACACAGCCAAATTAAAAACTTGACACTGATGAATTTCAACAAATTTTTTTTTCTGGTAAGTCAAATAAATTTTAAAATGTTTCTAACGATAGTAAGTAGTAAGAAGCCTTTAATTTCATAAAATTGTAAAGTCACGTGGATCACATGACTTTTGAGCATATAAAAATGAAAAACCTGAATAACACGTGCAAACACAAACTCGTGAGGTCAATCGATGCAAGTTTGCCTAAACCGAACACGCTCACGTAACTTGAAATGGAAAAACAAATTAAAATTGTTATTTTCATCTTTGTTAGAAAATGCCGCGCTTTTCAAATGTAGAACGTCTACGTGCTATAAGTAGGCTCTATGCTAGTCAGTCTGTGGTCACTGTTGCAAGAGCCTTTAATTGTTCACGCCAGACAATAATTAATCTTAGAATGAGAGTGCTTCAAACTGGAACTATTGCCGACCGCCCAAGGACGGGAGCGCCACGTGTGAGTCACTCCAGGAAGATCAAGCAATACGATTACGTCATCTTAGAAACAGATTTGTCACTGCAACCTCCACAAGTAGAGAGATGTTTGGTGGAAGGGTAATTGCACAAACTGTTCGAAATCGCTTGCAGGCTGCTGGTCTTCGAGCTCGGAGGCCCTATAATGGACCAATATTGACACCTCTTCATCGCCGTAACCGACTTGTGTGGGCCACAAGACACATAAGATTTACTCAAAGACAGTGGAATTCGGTTGTCTTTAGTGACGAATCTCGATTCACTTTGAGATTTGCTGATGGCAGGGTCCGAGTGTACCGCAAACGAGGTGAACGTTACGCTCAAGTATGCGTCAGAGAAGTTGACCGATTTGGTGGCGGCAGCGTCATGGTTTGGGGTTCTTTTTGTGCACATGGACGTTCTCCTCTTGTTGTTGTCCAAGGGAACTTAAATGCTGTCCAGTACAGGGATCAGATTTTGCAACCTGTTCTTCTTCCGTTTATGCAGAGACATGGGCCTGGACTAACGTTTCAACAAGACAATGCTCGACCCCATACAGCAATTGCTACCAAGATTTTTTTTTTAAGAAATGCCGGTGTCCAAGTCCTGGATTGGCCGTCGCTTAGCCCCGACCTTAATCCTACTGAACACATCTGGGACGAACTGGGTCGACGTGTTCGTCAGCAAGTGAATCCACCACTGACGTTGTAGGACTTTCAACATACTCTTGCTGAGCAGTGGCGACGTCTTCCTCGGGTAGTGTTTACTAATGTTCTGAGATCCATGAGAAGACGTTGTGTGGCAGTACGAGACGCTAGAGGAGGCGACAACCGTTACTAAACACTTTATTCCGATTGTTCTCCAAGTCTGTGAATTTCATTTTGGGGGGTACTGTGACATCACGAACGTTATCAATGTCAAGGACTTTCGGCGAGACGTATTCTTGCTTTCTGTTGATGTCAAGGTCGTCTGTGCACAACCTAACACTAAAATAGTTGCCTTAAACCAAATATTAAAAATCTAGTCCCAAAAATCCCGAGTGTCAAGTTTTTAATTTGGCTGAGTATATATATCACTGAAATTACATGTGTCTTTTACAGGGGTGCACAAACATATTTTCCCAGGTGGAGGGGGCATCAAAAAATCGTCCCACTCAGCATTAGAAAACCAATTATTACCCCCAGTTAGGTCGATATTGGTTAGTAAGTATAGCATTATGTAATTTTTAAATGACCCAGTTAAATATTGATTTGTAGGCGTCATTTTGGTTTGATTGCATGTGTAAGAGACAGCGACAAGTCGACCCATTTCCCACAAAATAAGAAGGCCCACTCCGCAACAAAAAATCGACCCATCTGTCTATCTGGACTAACCCCGTTTTATAAAACCGATTAATACTAAGACATTTATATAAAAACTATTCAAATTTAAATGATAACAATGATTGTAATTGTCAGCTTTACTATTCAAATTGCCCTTCATATTTTTTATCAATACAGGAACAAGAGGGAAATGAACCACAACACGGCTGAAGCCAGGGCTTCCACAATATTCTGCTTAAATCCATTTGACATGGCTGTGGTATAATTGAGTTTTTATGATCATCCATTGCTTTTAGCATAATGTTGACAATTTCTGGATATCTGGAGAGGTCTAGTGGTCGTAATTCAGACGGATCTGACGTCATATCGTATAAAAGAGGTGGGTTATTCACAACTGCGTTTCTACAGTTACAGAAAAAGCGACACACCTGTTTTCCAGGTAGATAATTCGGTGATCTAATAGCCAACTTCCATACTTCCATACCTGGTAAAATATATAAATACAAGTACACTATGAACAAAAAGTCTGTACGATAAAAAAAAACAATGAGCGTTGAGCAGCGGATCAGATTCAAATTGATTATGGTCTTGTCATGTTAATAAATGACTAATTAAAGGTTTATATAACATAAAAGGCCTAAAGAAATACCTGCAATAGGCAGATTTAGCTCTTGAAAAAATACAAGTCAGAGACAGAGGTTGAGGCCGAAGGGCGACACAATCGCAGCTCCCTTTTACCCAACGACGTATATAATCGGAACTATTGGCAATATTCACCTAAAACCCGACTTAAATCAACAAAATTCGAGATCAACGCCTATAACCCGAAAATACAGGCAAAGATTCGACGTGCCTTATGTTTTCATAATAAATGCAAATTTAAACAAATGTCGTGTAAAATTCAAACAAATTTCGAAACGTTCATGCTCTCCAAATGGCCGAATTTCTGATCCCTTTTCTCTTCTCATAACAATGCAAACTGAAGTAAGACCTCACCATATGCGTTCTAGTGGGTGTGGTGCAGCCTTCCGCCCAACATACCCCTTCGGCTCTGATACTTCACTGTGTTATCTGCGTCAATATTTAATCTATTTTCAGTACCTACCCCTGTGAGCTAATCATCTACCCCCTTGCACCCACAAGATAAACTTACCATGTTTAGGACGATATCTGATGGCGTGTATATCATCTCCACAATAATGAAACATAAAGTCGTGGGGTGAAACAGTTTCCTTGCCTGATAAAAGAGGTATCATATCATAACCATCAATATGTAATTTTTGTTGTAATTTAGTTTGGATGATGTTGGCTATGGTAGGAAAGATGTCCATTAAACTTGTAGGTTCATCAATAACTGTTCCTGGTCTTACAGCTGGTGGATATCTTAAAACAGTCGGCACTCTGATTCCACCATCTACAGCACCATGAGCCTTCCCACCTGAAGTAAGGGGTGTTTAAGAAAAAACCTATTAATCATAAGTCTCTTTGGTCAACAGCGGTCAGATACTTAAAAGTCAGGTTTGCTAAACGTTTGCGGAAGGTTAACTTCCTTTTTTTGTTGGCATTATTATATTTTAACTTATGGCATCAAGTGGCAAATTACCACCCTTACGTAACGTCATTCATTATACGACCGCCACTAAGGCTAGTCACACATTTTCCAATTGCTTCCTTGTATTCAGCATTAGTTCTCTGTTTTATATAAATAAGGAGTTATGTCCTAACTTTGTAATAAATTATACACTCGAATTCTTTCGCACACTCATAATGCTTTGATCCCTATTTTTCCTTCAATGTGCCTATATCTATATTTCATGTGGCACACAGCCGATCATGACTCATACACTAGCATTATACTAGTTTAAGAAATATTCCCCTTTTCTTGAGTTGCTTCCCTTATTGTTATTTTGGTTTTTCATATTGAGTTAAGTCTAGTGTCTGATCTGAAATGTTTGTGATTTCTGTCTTGTCCATAGATTTGTCTTGTCTAATTGTTTGTCTGTGGTGCACCCCCCCCCCCCTCCAATCCCCCACCCGCTGTGCTTACTAATAGTATTAGGTGGATAAAGAAGTACAATAACTAAGTTGTCATAAATGTTTTGAACTGACCTTCTTATTCTCTGTGATATAGTTATCATATAGTAGGTTCTTACCTTTATAGATACCATTATAACCACCATGAACCTCTCCATCAGCATTTCTCTCCTCCAGGTGACCTCCATTATCAGATGTAAAATATACAAGTGTATTGTCTACTAAATTCAATCTATCCAAGGTGTCAAGAATTTCACCAACTCCCCAATCCATCTCTTCCACTGCATCACCGTACCGCCCATGTTTGTTCCTGCCTCTAAACTCTTTTGTCGTATTCAAATAAGTGTGGACTTGGGACCATGACACCATTAAGAGAAACGGTTTATCATCTTTTTGACGATTTTCTAAAAATTCTACGCCCTCAGCTGCAAATCTTTTTGTTAATGTAGATAGTTCCATTGGTTGTTCCACAAGTTCCTTATTTCTGTACAACAAACTATTGAAATTTTTATAACGAATTATGTATGCATAATGCAGAGTAAATAGTACCGAAGATACGAAAATAACTAGAACGATATACAGAGCTAGTCCGATCATACGGGTACTATAGAGACACGTGAAGCAGATGAACAGGACGAGGAATGTGGTGATAAGCTGGTGATTCCAGTATGGGAAAACGGATTTCATTAAACTTTCTCTGGTGTCACTGCCAAAATCTTTTAAATTCGTTAAAGGAAATCCATAAAAGTAGTCGAACCCTTGATTATTTGGGTGATGTTCGTAGTCTCCAAAGCTGCTCTCACTCCAGCCTTGGTGCCATTTTCCTAAAACGATCACAACGTTAGATACATATTGGTAGTTGTCACTGACTTGCGACTATAAACACTGGTTATGAAAAAGGTCTTGATTCAATCAAAACTGTAATTAATATAAGAGATTTTTAGCAAGCGTAAATTTCTCGTCCGTATTGCATATCCGTATCGATTTTGCGTCTGACGTCATCAATGTGTGTGTATTTCTCATACGTGATACGCAGCAATTATCTGGCCAAACTCTAAAACTACATACGGATACGTGATACGGATGGGAAAAATTCCGCTCGCCAAAAAGTCTCCATAAACTGTACAAATAGGCCTACCTACCCATCAAGGCTGTTGTATATCCTGCTGCTTTGGCTAGCTCAGCAAATGTTGTTTCACTTGTTGGTAAACCGCCAGATGAGGCCACAAAAATAAAAACGGGTGGGAAACCTCTGGGAGCCATTCCTGAAATATTTGGTGAAACCTTTTAATAGCACCAGTGACAATGACATGGTATAAAATTTGGATAAATAATGTGCTAGTCTTCCTCAGCTTAGCAAGTGGGCGCAACAGCATTCTACCGCTTAGCGGGTCCGACATTTTTATATCTGACCCCTGTCACCCATCTCTACAAAGATTAACTTATATGTATAATTAGCGCTACATAGATTAACTGATGTTAGTAACACACTATGTTGGCGCTACAGATTAACTGATGTTAGTAACACACTATATTGGCGCTACAGATTAACTGATGTTAGTAACACACTAAATTGGCGCTACAGATTAACTGCGATGTTAGTAACACACAATGTTGGCGCTACAGATTTACTGCGATGTTAGTAACACACAATATTGGCGCTACAGATTAACTGATGTTAGTAACAAACTATATTGGCGCTACAGATTAACTGCGATGTTAGTAACACACAATATTGGCGCTACAGATTAACTGATGTTATAACATACTGTATTGGCGCTACAGATTAACTGATGTCAGTAACACACTGTATTGGAGCTACAGATTTACTGATGTTAGTAAAACACTATATTGGCGCTACATAGATTGACTGATGTTAGTAACACACTATATTGGCGCTACAGATTAACTGATGTTAGTAACATACTGTATTGGCGCTACAGATTAACTGATGTCAGTAACACACTGTATTGGAGCTACAGATTAACTGATGTTAGTAACACACTATATTGGCGCTACATAGATTGACTGATGTTAGTAACATAGTGTATTGGCGCTACAGATTGACTGATGTTAGTAACACACTATATTGGCGCTACAGATTAACTGATGTTAGCAACACACTATATTGGCGCTACAGATTAACTGATGTTAGTAACACACTATATTGGCGCTACATAGATTGACTGATGTTAGTAACATACTATATTGACGTTACATATATTAACTGATGTTAATCACATACGATACTGATGCTACATTAACAGATGTTAAAGCCTAAAAGGTTAGTAGTCTGTCTGCAATGTATGTGGTTTCCTTTTGAAAAGCTAACTCCTAAAAAATACATGCAGACTAAGACTTATCATTGCTTATGGAAGTAATGGTGGGGGCCGGGGGTGTAAAGCAAAGATACGTACCTGAGCGTATTGGATATCGTCCTGTAAGAAAAGCTGCTCTACTAGGCCCGCATAGACTTGATGCTGATAAATGGTGAGTTAATTTGGCACCTTCTCTGGCTAATCTGTCGATATTTGGTGTTTTAATCGTCGTATTCCCAAAACACCCAACATCACCAATACCCAAATCATCCGCCATTATTAATATAATGTTCGGTTTCTTGGCACCAGAAGATGTAATAGATATTGACAGAAGCACGAATAGAATGGGCTGTGAAAAGCATGATATAGCCATTTACACAATTTAAGTAACTGCAAGAGAACCAAACGTTAACCAATGAAATTAAATTAACGTCCTAGTTAATAATGTAATGCAGATTATGGTACATCATATTAAAGTTACAATTTCATATTTTTAAAATGTATTTCATATTTTTAAAATGTATTTTAAAAAAAGCCCTAAAATAGATGGTATCCATAAACGGTCCTACCTCGTTAAAGAATAATCCCATTAATCCTATAATTCACTATTGTCAGTTGAGAAATTGGCAAAAATATCATTCAAACGTCATGGTGGGGAATAGGAAAACAAGGGAGGTATTTGGGAGGTAATTGTGTTATTATTTCCGGTGTAAATGAGTTTTAAGTTTGAGAATGACACCTATGATCGTATAATAGTGAGTTGACAACCTATTGGGCAAAAGACATAGAAATAATTATGTTTTGACTTTCTTAGAAAATATGAAATTGTAACTTTAAATCATGACAGGGGCAAGACACCTATTCCTTTTCATCCACAGCTACATACTGTATAACCTGCCTGGTTCGGACATCCCAGTGTGACACAGAACCTGATATGCTGATAATTTGTCTCAGTCCTGCATGTCTTGATGGTATGAATAAAGATTTCACCAGCGTATACTGGGAGAGATCACAACTGTATATACATATAATATTTTTCATTCCTTGTCAAAAAATGAAAGCATCCTCGCTACCATCCTATGACTTCTTGGTGCTTTTCCTTTAATGCTCGGGGAGGGGGGATTGGATGGCCAAATGGTTAGCACGTGCGCGTTGTATCATAACGCCTGTCATTGAGTCAACTGGCGTGGTTTCGAATCCCTGGTTGTACGTGACAATGAGTAGGGTCGCCTGTCCAAACTCGTGGGTTTTCCCCGGAGCCTCCGGTTTCCCCCCCCCCCACTGCTAAAGACCCATACGCGCAAGCGAATTATTGAAATAAAATTAAACCATATGTTAGTCCCGAAATGACCTAGTGTGTGTCGAGTGGACGTTAAACCCTATCTCTCTCTCTCTCTCTCTCTCTCTCTCTCTCCTTTAATGCTCATGTCTCTCTTAAGATTTTAAGTAGCAGCCTGGTTTTCTACAAGTTAGCCCTGAATGATCCCCCGCCACAATGCCGAAAACACATGTGCCATTCTAGAGAGGTTTATCAGTGGTATCCCACCGCAGAAACTGTTTGTCAGCGGTCATTCCGTTTTAGGTGGTACAGATTTCAACTAATCTAGCCTAGTTGGGTAGTGGCATTTTGGTAGTGTCTGTCAGGGTACCCAATCGCACAAACTGTCTGGCAGTGGTCATTCAAAGCCGTTTCAGGTGGTACGAACTTCAGCTAATCTAGTCTAGTTGGGAGGCGTGACATTTAGAGCGTGAATACCACACCCACCACCAGATACCCGGCAGACTTACATTCTGATGATACCAGATATGCAAGCATTGATACCATATATAGGAGAAACTGGTATTTAACAAGACATTTGGTCTGTAACATTTTAGCATGTCTATCATAAAATAATAGCTCGTTTGGAATATACATGCTAAACGGGGAACAGGTAATAAGTGCAGGAAACTGCCCAATAACTGTTCGGTGTACACTACAGAGATTGTGGCCATTCGTGATGCTATATTATGGATCTCCCATCAAAAGACTAGTATTTTCGTCATTCCAAGCGACTCTCTGAAGTCATTTTGGAAATCAGGCAGCTGTAACAGAGGGTCCTAGAGAAGGGATGCAAACTAGAGCTCGTGTGGATTCGATCACATGTGGGCATCAGAGGAAACGAGGAAGCAGATCGACTCGCCAACGAAGGTCTCAGGGACACAACACCACCCCGCACCACAGAATACAGCACCACGGAAATCTACAGTATGGTAAAAAGACAGGTCAATTCAATCTGGGAACTAAAGCTCCTTGAACTTGACACATACAGATTCCGGCTGGATGACAAGATCTACACCAAGACAGCGATCAGTCACCCTACAAGAGATATATGCAAACTTATATCGAGACTAAGGGTGAAAGAGCGGCTGCGAGACTTCAAACACCAAGTCGTCGTCTGTGAGTGCGGAGAAGAATGTACCACCAACCATGTCCTGGTAGACTGTGAAGTATACAAGGAGGAGAAAAGTGGACTATTGGGGATGATGGAGACCAACAACATACCGCTCAACACTAAGAACCTACTCTTTCCGAGACCGATCTAATGACCACGGTTGGATTAAGTAGAATAGTGAAGTAAGAGGGAGCCACGGTTAGACGGGCTCGGCATCTAAACAATAAACTACATAGGGGAGATATACCAAATTAGCAGGATAGTGGAGTAAGGAAGGGTCACGGTTAGACGGGGTCGGCATCAAAACACTAATCCGCTAAAAAGACACCAAACCTGCAGAGTGGGATAGTGGAGTAAGGGGAGGCCACGATAAGACGGTTCTGGCACCTAAACACTAAACCCACAAAGATGGCATCTACCAATCTAGAAACGAGATGCATATATGCCTGCCTCCACAGATCAACTCCCAAATAATACGTTTTTTATTAAATAAAGGGATGAACATCTAACTAAACCTACTCCATGGCCTATGGCCGCAAATGGAAAGATTACAAAATCATATTCTAAAAACAGGAGAAAGCCTCGGCTCTCCTATGTCTTGTCTGCGATACCACTTATGTGGAAGCAGACGTTAAAGCAGCAGGTAGTAGTAGTAGTATTGGTGAAACATAAAGAATTGCTGTCTTGAAAGAATCATTTCAGTTACAATCCCTTTCTTTTAACGTCTCTGGTAAAAAAAAAACATCGGCACTCGTGATAAATGAGCTCCGGGTTTAGAACATGGGGCATTCTAGTGGAGACCCCTGTGTCCAACCTACGAGCTCAACAAAGTAACAAAATACATACATACTCGGTTAGATCTGTTTTTGTAAAGGCTAACTTCAAGTTAGGTCAAAGGTCACAAGATGTTTATATAATAGGGTTAGCGTTAATCTCGACCCTGGACCTCGCACCAATGCTTATATTAACCCTAACCTCCTAACCTACAATCTCGCACGTGTCCTATAGCCTGATTTACATCTCAGCGACCTAAACGAAAATTGAGCTATATAGCCTTAACAAATAGTTTTAGTCATATATCGGCTACATTCATAATATCATACATAATATTAAACATGTCTGCACAGTAAGTCTCACCTCACTGCTGACTCTGAATTGGAAAGGTTCAAGGCTTTTTCAAATATCTGGATGTAGGCTACTTGTCTACTGTTAGTTTTTAAGACACCGTAACATCATGTTGTTTCACTGTTCATAATGGCGAGCACGGTGTATGACTCGTAGTATCTTGTTCAAGCTGTCGAAGCATATACCATGAAAATCATCCAACCATTTACACATTTCGTTAGAAAAATGCAGTAGGTTCATTTGCATAATGTGAATTACATTATAGTGCATACAGGTGTATAAATATCATTTTAACTTAACGATGATATAAAATCTATGATGGTTGTGTGTCCCAGCTGTCAGGGAGTTTTTACGTACACGTCAAGTTAACACCGGGCCTCGATTGTTCGTCCGAAGTGAGGGGGGGGGGCGAATGGTTAGCTCGCGCGTGTTTTGAATCATAACGTCTGTCATTGAGTCAACAACTGACGTGATTTCTATTCCCTGGCTGTACGTGACAAGGAATGGGGTCGTCTGTCCAACTGCGTGGGTTTTCTCCGGGTCCCCCGGTTTCCTCCCACTGCTAAAGACCCCTACGCGCAAGCGAATTATTGAAATAAAATTGAACCATATGCTAGTCCCGAAATGACCTAGTTTGTGTTGAGTGTTCGTTAAACCCCATTTAACAGAACAGCTGACGTTAAACCCAATTTTACTTCATGTGTATATTCTTTATTTTATTTTAGTCTCCAAAGAGAGAGAGAGACAGAGAAAGTAACGTCCACTCGACGCAAACTAGGTCATTTCGGGGCTAACATATGGTTCATATGGGAGGAAACCGAAGGACTCGGAGAAAACCCACGAGGTTTGACCATACAACCGGTGAATCGAAACCGCGCACGCGTTAACCATTCGGCCACCCAACTCCCCTTAATCTCCATAACTTCAGTTGGTTGTAAAAGGATTTAAAACGATATAAACTTTTATAAATTATTTATTATAGAAATAATAAAAAAATATATGTATTCTATGTATTATAGGTATTTCTAGGTAGTTGGTCATGGTTATTACCGTCTTCAAACAACACTATATATTCGCAAAACTGATATAAAATGTTAACTTCAAAACTAACAAATATAATTATGAAAATGATTAGTGATAATAATATGCCATTTTGGGCTACTGCGATCACTCTACAAATCGTCCTTCAAATTTTTCATCGCTGCAGGAACATGATGGAAAGGAGCCACAACACGGCTGAAGCCAGGGCTTCCACAAAAGTCTAGGCATATCTAATTGATTTGTCACTGGTATAATCGAGTCTTTATGATCTTCCAGTGCTTTTAACATTAGGCTAACAACTTCGGGATGTCTCGTACTATCAATTGGTCTTGATTCTGACGGATCTGACGTCATGTCATGTAAAAGTGGAGGGTCATTAACAATGGCTTCCTGGCAGGAACATGCAAATTGACACATCTGTTTTCCTGGTAAATAATTCGGGGATTTTAAAACCAGCTTCCAGATGGAGGAGCCTGTTGAAAATAAATTTAATGTTTATTATTTATGTGACTGATAGAATAATTCTTAGCTTTTAAAGAAATGTAGACTGGGTTTATCTCCAGACCCAGGATCTCAATGATCAAGCATCTCCATGATCAGTCCTATTACTAGACTCAAAGCTAGGACACTGTATTGCGCATATGCATCTTCATCGTACAGGTTGGTGCAGAAAATAAGATGGTACACACAAATTTGTGTTATTGCTGTCTCGTTGCAACAAGGGAGGTAACATGGAATCAATTAGTCCGATTAAAACAAAGATCCTATTTCGATTTGTTTTTTATAGTTCAAAATTTCGTTTTACTTGTCTTCACGCCACTTTATGTACTGGTGGCCATCGAAAGTTTTAATATACGAATCGAAATATAGATCTGTATTTTAACCAAATTGGCAATCTCTAACATCAAGTCGAGGAAGATAAAGAAAAAATACTCACCGGTTCTTGGACGATATCTGATGGCGTGTATATCATCTCCACAATAATGAAACATAAAATCGTGGGGTGAAACAGTTTCCTTGCCAGATAAAAGAGGTATTATATCTTGACCATCAATATGTAATTTAGGTTGTAATTTAGTTTGGATGATGTTAGCTATGGTAGGAAAGATGTCCATTAAACTTGTAGGTTCATCAATAACTGTGCCTGGTCTTACAACTGATGGATATCTTAAAACAGTCGGCATTCTGATTCCACCATCTACAGCACCATGAGCCTTCCCACCTAAAGTAAAATGTTGTACATCAATGTAAATATACAGTAAATTGAAACTTATAGTGCGACTATCTTGCAACCCGATATTTATAATGGTCGGTGCTTATGAGATGCATTCATAGCATAAAGACTCAGGATTGTCCAAATATATACTTTGGAAATCTGATCACTCAATGAAAATTATCGAGCAACTTAAACTAAACCAGATTGACCTGCTTCTGGTTCTTCCAGTATATCCAAACAGCCCCCAAGTCGGTCTAGTCTTATTACCTTTATAGATACCATTATAACCACCATGAACTTCTCCATCAGCATTTCTCTCTTCCAGGTGACCTCCATTATCAGATGTTAAATAAATGAACGTGTTGTCTGCTAGATTCAACCTATCCAGGGCTCCAAGAATTTCACCAACTCCCCAATCCAACTCTTCAAGTGCGTCACCGTAGCGTCCATGTTTATTTCTGTTTACGAACGCTTTTGCAGTATCTAAGTAAGTGTGCATATGTGGCCACCCAATCGTCAACAGGAATGGCTCTTGGTCGTTTCTTCTTTTTTCTAAATATTCAACACCTTCTGCCGCGAATCTACGCGTCAAGGTAGATAACTCCATCGGTTGCTCTACCAGTTCCTTATTTCTAAACAGTAAGCTATTAAAATCTTTGTAGCGTATAATAATAGCATAGTGCACTGTAAACAGCACAGAAGATCCGAAAATAACAAGAATGATATACAGAGCTAGCCCTACCATCCGAGTGCTATACAGACACGTGCAGCAAATGAACATGATGACAAAGGCGGTCACGATCTGGAAATTCCAATATGGAAATATCGAACGAAACAAACTTTCTCTAGTATCTTTTCCAAAGTCCTTCATGTTTGTTATAGGGTAGCCATAGAAGTATTCAAATCCTTGACTATTTGGATGGTGTTCATAATCTCCGTGGCTGTCCTGGCTCAATCCCAGGTGCCATTTTCCTGTAATAAAGAAAATAAGTTAAAGAGACTGCATTGCCTGGATTAACATCGACAACATGGCTTAGATTAGAACAACGTTTTTTTAAAGAGATGTGATTGCTTCATTATAGTCACAGCTGATCATCTTAGGTGGAAACGGAGCAGTCAGATTGAATAACTTAGGCAGAAAGCCATTGGTCTGAAAAGCTTTTTACGACAAGATTTGAAACGTCGAAGAAGTCCCGTCAGTTTGAAGAAGATATCGGACCCATACGTTTGATGGTTTATGAAATATCGTTTTAGTTACCAATAGCGTTTAATGTGACGAATGTGGGACATAATTATGTCATGCAGTATTTATGGTGTTTAAGTAGATATAGTCTTTATGGTTCTCGGTAGATTTTTGAAATATAGTCTAAAATATAATACCTAGCATTGATTCTGAAAGTTTTTAAATACAAAAGTGCAAATATACGTGGACTTCACCGGGGCATCGTTTTAAAATAATGACGTGTCCCTTGAATAAGCATATATGTTCGCGTACGCACGACGCCATTTTTAAGTAGAAATTCGGACTTGCATTCTAGTAACCACGTCCTTCTTACCAAGCAAGGCTGTTTTATATCCTGCTGTTTTGGCTAGCTCAGCAAATGTTGTTTCACTTGTGGGTAATCCACCCGATGCCGCCACAAAAAGGATAACACGCGCGTATCCTCTTGCAGCCATTCCTGAAATAAAGTGTTATTAAAGTTATTATAGCACACATGTATTTGAAATCCCAGAAAAGGGAAAATCTGAAATTAAATTCAACCGGAGAAAGCTTGGATTTTCAAATCTTAGATAAACTTGCTGTTAAAATGGGGGTTTTTGGTGGTTCCATTATCCATTATATAATTTCGAACACGTGCATTGTGTATGTTAATAGTATTTTGTGGATAACTCGCTTTATCCTTTAGCCTGGGCTATTAACTTCCAGTATCCTTTAACTTAGTTAACAACTCCTGTATCTTTTAACCTAAGCTAATAACTCTGTGTGTCTTTTAACTTACATACTCCCTGTGTCTTTACCTTACGTTAATACGTCCCTGTATCTTTTAACTTATGTTAATAACTCGTTTTAATTTTTAATTTACGTTAGTAACTCCCAGTATCTCGTAACAGAAAACTTGCGTTTATAACCCCCTGTATCTTTGAACTTAAGTTAATACATTCCTGTATCGTGTAACTTACGTTAATAGCTCGCTGCATCTTTTAACTTGCGTTATTAACCCTTTTTATCTTTTAACTTACGTTATTAATTTGTATCGATGATATTAAGATTAATAATAAAGGGAAGAGTATCAGGACTGTTTCCTTTTACTACATTGCTATAAAATAGCAAGATGCTAAGCACAGATACGTACCTGAACGTATTGGATATCGTCCTGTTAGAAACGCTGCTCTACTAGGTGTGCACAGACTTGATGCTGATAAATGGTGAGTTAATTTGGCACCTTCTCTGGCTATTCTGTCGATATTTGGTGTTTTAATTGTCGTATTCCCAAAACATCCTAAATCACCAATACCCAAATCATCAGCCATCATTAATATAATGTTCGGTTTCTTGGCATCAGAGCATTGAATTATTATCAATAGTACAAGAATCAGGGACCTTGGGTCCAAAATGTTGGTTGTCATTTTGTGTCTTGAACTGGTTTACCTAAAAAATAACAAAAAAATCAAAAATGAATATTAAACTATTAATCATTGCGGGGGCTTGGATTGTTTCGGGACTAACATATAGCATATATTTTCAATAATTGGCTTACATGTTGGTTTTCCGTACCATCCGAACGACTAAACAGCTGTTCTTGTCAGGCCCTCGGTCCTGCATCACTGACAAGGGGGAACCACGCCGGAAAATCTGGATTGTAGCTATATCAGTGACATATACAAGCATAAAGCATAATCCTACGTGTTTCATATTATCTACCGGCGTACACATATCGATATCTAATTTTAGACATCAAAATTTGTTAATTTGTTTTCGGGTACAGGGCTCTTTAGATGTGGAGGAAATTCACAGAGGTTAAGGCGGACTCGAGCTTCAACCGAACTCGAGCTTCATAGATGACAGAGCTTTGAGAACGGCAAGGAAACCATTTGGACATATTTTCGTCTGTCAGCTATGCAAGTCATGTGTTCGATACAATGAGGGCGGTTGACTGTGGCTGACGGATTTCCCAGGTTACCCCAGCTTCCTCACTCTTCTAAAGACACAGTAAGCGAATATTAATACGACGACATATTAGGGCCGAAATCACCTGATTACAGTGTCGATCAAATGGTGTGGTTTCGATTCCCCCTTATTGAGCGTGACAAGGGGTATGGTCGCCTGTACAACCTCGTGGGTTTATCCGGGACTCCAGTTCCCCCCACTGCTTAAGTCGACTACGCGTAAGCAAATTATTGAAATAAACACTCTTTCTTGCCAGAAAATTAACGAGATCAGTCGGGTCAATCCTTATTATTGTATAGACACACTGAGTTTCAAGGGTCAATGAGTGATTTTCACGGGTTCAAAAGTTCAAGGTGTCCTGTTTGAATTAATGCCTGGGTGTATACATTGCTACTGTTTTCCTTCTAGTTACCTTTAGTTACCTGTGAACCTGTGACAGTAATTTCATTGTTTAAACATTTAAGTATATATAAATAACGGTGTTCTACACTAACATATATACAAATTTAACTATCTTTTGTATCCTACAGTATATTACGTAGTTGCTCGTCTTAATCCATATAATAATGACAAGAGAATATTTAAACAACTTGTTTGATAAGGGGTGTTTAATAGGCGTTATCATTTTCGAATACGAGAAAATAATTCAATGGATAGGCTATATATACTTTTGGGTAAATAACATTCTTTCAGCTGCTGCAAAATTGAAATGAATTGAAAGGGTTTAACATCCTACTTTCCGCATCCGAGCTAATGTAGACCCGTATATGTCATACAGGGTGAGGGGGGGGGGGATTTTGCCCAGGCATTTGAATTCCAACTGACAAAGGTTCTTTTACATTCACGCCAACGAGTGCAGCTTTGTAGAGAATGCTTTCAAAATGAAAGGGGTGTGGCACCCACCTCTATATAAACCAAAATATAACCAATAATTTTAATAAATCTCTTTTTCGCGTTTAGCTCAAACTACTATGACATATTCAAAACTTTGGTTTATATTTTGTACATACATGTACTCTCTTAATGTATATATACATACATGTATATTTCATCCTCTTTACATGTATTTTTCATCCACCTTTTATATATATTTCATTCACTTTTTTATGTCTTTTTCATGCTTAATCTATAATTTACATGCAAAACTCGGGTGGACCGCAATATTTCATACCTTCCGAACGACTACATGCTTTTCTTTTACCGGACTCCATTGCTAACCAATATTGACACAAAAATGATTTTACTCAGAACTACTCAAAAGAAACAAAGCAGATTTTATAGCAATTTTGTCACAAATGGGTACCACATTTTTTACATGATTCATGCACCCCACATTTTGAAAAGGCGGTCAGCATTCATCTATATATCTCTGTACACTACAATTTTAAAAAAAATGTCTCACCTATGCATCATCTGTTCCCACAGCACGTTCTTCTATGAACTGGTACATTAAATCAATCTCTATATAAACTACAATGGATTTGGTTTTGTAAACAAACAATGGACTCTTCCATTGACGCTCGGTTGAATATATAAATTATAGCGGGGGAGGGTGAACTGTATAATCTGCAATATATTACATGCCAAGTATTATGGTACGCCAATTCGGCCAATAATCGGGTGATGCATTTTCATTCGGTTTATTTGATTGAAAATAAAATGAAATGGTGTTTAACGTCCTACATCTGTACCAACCGTACGTGTTATATAATAAATATGGTTATACGCTATGCAGTGTTTCTTCTTCGAATTCCAAGTGTCAATGGTTCTTTTACATGTATGCCGTGTGAACTGGATTCTCGTCGACTAGACGCTGTTCCTTGCCGGGCCCTCCGACCTGCACCACTGACAAGAAAGGGTAGGTGACAACAATAATCAAAGCCTTTTAAAATACTTTGTGAAATTGTCTGTGGTTTTTGATTAGTGGGTTGATCTGGATTCGTCCAATCACAATCTGCAACTACTGAACGCGTCCTATAAAGGATTATCTTTATGTGAAAGCGGACGTAAAATACAACTAACTCATCATCATGAAAGTGGACTAAACCATTGTTGGTAGGAATTTCAATCAGCTTGATTCATGTCAATCATGAAGAATTGGGTAGTAAGGGTATGCTAACTCTTTATTGAAAGCTGGGCTCAACTGTGTGAGAGATGTACTATCGTCGTCTTGGTATTTGGTTTATTTTGCTACAGTGAACAAGGGCTTCTTTACATGACATTTTAGATCATCCACAGTGTTCCGTGATTTTAATTGTCAGTTAATTAGTAATGCATTATCTAATTACAATTTTAAAAGATATGTTTGTTCGAAAATATGATGATTTAACGACCAGGAAATATGAAAAATAACAGAAGTGTTTCAGCTGGTCAACCAGTAATGTACGCGAGATTAGAGACAGCACCTGTCGGTAAATGATGGGGTAGCACATTGAACATCAGACAGCAGGGCCTTCTGCAGAAAGGTAGGGTGGTAAACTCATCGAAAACAAACAATTGTGGACCATTTAAAACAATTTATCTGAAAAAGCCCGCAAGCATTTCACTTTAGTTTACTGGACATGTAATACATTTTCTAATGGTAATAGTTTTACTTTTAGCGGTTAAATCTGTCCATATAGTTTCCACTGGGGCAAAGGCGTGGTACAGAAAGTCACCAAGAGCAATTCTAAATAAAGAGCAGCGTCATATCGGGAGTAATGGAACCAAATGGTCAGATAAAACCAGAAACGTGTTTAAAATTAGAGCACTGAAGTTCTGCAGGCTACAAAAAGACATTAATTTGAATAAACTTCCGTGGATGCTATCATTATGTAGCTGTCAGCCGTCCTAATTTCCACTTCATTCTCGGAACAAATGAAACGAAACGGGATTTCTGCTTTTCTGCTCCGACAGGGGTATAATGAAGACATGCATACACCATGCTATATGCGGGGATTTTGCCTCGACAGCAGCACCACAGACTTCTTTATATGGAATTCCAACTGTCAAGTGTTCACACAGGCCTTCGTTTTTTGTCCCATCCGAAAGAGAGAGAGAGAGAAATGGGGTTTAACGTCCACTCGACACACACTAGGTCATTTCGGGACTAACATATGGTTCAATTTTATTTCAATCATTTGCTTGCGCGTAGGGGTCTTTAGCAGTGGGAGGAAACCGGAGAAAATCCACAAGGTTGGACAGGCGACCCTACTCCTTGTCACGTACAACCAGGGAATCGAAACCCCGCCAGTTGACTCAATGACAGACCGTATGATACAGCGCGTGCGTGCTAACCATTAACCATTCGGCCATCCAACACCCCCCCCCCCCATCTGAAAGGGTATACATGTACATTGCCTCTTGTTGGATCATCTGTCCTGCGCCACTGACAAAATGAAATGGGGTTTAACGTCCTACTGTTCTGCTCCTAAACTGGGCTAAACAGGACCTCGGTTTTCCGTCCCATCCGAACGACTAGACAGCTGTTCTTGTCAGGCCCTCTGTCCTGCATCACTGACAAGGGGAAACCACGCTGGAAAATCTGGATGAACTTTCTCGGCCAATGCAGGGATCGAACACCCGACCTCCAGGCGAGCGAGTCAGCGTCCTACCCACTTAGCACCACTGACAATGAGGAACTACTTACGAAATGATAAATTATGGTATTGTCAAATTAAGTACATTTTTCTAGAAGCACTCATCATCGTGGCCTTCATTTACTGGTTGTTACCAATACAAACTAAGATTTACAAAGGTTCTAGCCAGGATAATCAAAAAACAAAAACTGTGAACATAGAGTAGAGCTTGCCAGCTACCCATACCCTCCAACACACCAACTTGTCTTCTGTATTGTCGTTCCTGAATGGACAATCTCGCTATACATTGCAAAATTTCAGTTGAGAAGTCAACTCAAAACATAGACCAACTGAAGGGGTTTCGTAATCAGTTTTGTTAGGTGAAATCCTACTTGTCTCAAGCAACCGGGATAATAATAAACAGGCCCGTAGCCAGCAGGGGGCAAGGGGGGGGGGGCAATGCCCCCATGAAAAAATGTTTTGCCCCCCCCCCCCCGGAAAAAAAATTTGCCGACCATAGCTCCAAAGTACCTACTGTAGACTGTGCCCCCCCACCCCCTAAAAACATCACTGCCCCTCCGAGGCCAGAAAGCTGGCTACAGGCCTGATAATAAAGTATGTCATCATAAGTGTAAATTTACCCCGACAGTGCTATTTTCACCTATTCTTCATCAAATTCCAACAACACAGTCAAGGGTTCTTTGTGCAGCCAGTGTTTACACTGAGCTCTGTTTTTTCCTTCCATCCAAACGATAGCCTCCATTCTTAAAGTGAAATGAAATGAAATGGGGTTTAATATCCTACTGTTTTGCTCCGACTGGGCTAATGAAGACGGCCATACGCCATACAGTGTGCTATGAGGGAAATTTTGCAAGGACAGTGGCACTGTCAAGGGGTCTTTTCTGTGCATGCCAGTGTGTACATGGGACCTCGTTTTTTTGTCCCAATGACAAGGGGAAACGATGCCGGAAAATCTTGATGAACTTTCTCGGCCAACACCGGGAGCGAACCCACAACCCCCAGTCTAGCGAGCCAGCATCTTACCCACTTAGCCACCGTGGCTCCCATTTCTTAAAGTAGGCTTGCAAAGGATGTTTTTTTTTCTCTATATAAAAAAAAAGTTATTTTATTTAGCTATAAAGTAGCAATAATAAATAATACAATCACAGTTACGAATAATTTAATTGTTTTCTGTATGTATAAAAATATGTATTAAAGTCCCATTGGTTCATTTTAGCACAAAAGGAATCCCTTGTAAGGTACAAAAATGTCAAAGGTGAATCTCTAATAGGAATATTGGTTCAAAAATAGTTCCATTTGCTATACTGTATGTTGAATTGAAATTTCATGATCTGTGGTCCTCGCTATGTACTAAGTCTCAATCGACCTGTTGTAAATCTAATTGGTAATTAAATTTCTTAATTAAATGTTAAATAAATGGTAGGCAAGTGTGGATAAGGCCACTTTAACTAATCAATCCTATCAAGGGCGGATCTAGAGGAGATGCACCCAGAACATCCACACACATACACACAACCCTCACACCCCCATCCCTAACTGGATTCTGGGGACGCACCGGTCAGCTCAATATGTACGAGTCACAGATGTACAATGACGGCTTCGATTTAAACCAGTAGTTCTTGTTGCGGACCCACCATTGTGCGCTTCGAGCCTTCGGCACTCGCAGGGTTTGACTTTGCCACACATGCTCCCCCATCCAGGTCTCTAGATCCGCCCTTGCCTGTAGTAATAATTATGTCTACTCTACACTTAGAATTGAAAATAGTCTTTTACTCCAACACCATTAATTAGAATTGGCTGGTTTCATTTTTCTAATTCTTTCCAATAACCATTCCAGTGTTACAAACCAAAAAGTGTTCGGCTTAAATATTCCTCCAGCTATAAATCCCATTTCATTGGTCTGTGAAATCGCATGCAAGTGTAAATGTTTAATGCTGTTGAACGGTGGCCAATGAAATCCTAATCTGGCGTTCTCTGAAGTACCAACATTTTCTTCTAAGACTTTACAACCCACTGCTGCAAGGCGTTCAACTAAGGGAATATGTTCATGGGTTAAAACTTTAGGATCTCTGATGTGTTCTTTTGGTATAACTAAATAATGATGAGAAGTAGAAGGTTTTATATCCTTAAATGCCACAAATTCTTCATCTTGATAGACTATTCTTGTTTCAGGATCATGCCCCTGTCCAATCTTACAAAATAAACATTCATCCTCTGACATATTAATTGTGGTGATGTTTTGATTATTATTTGAAAAGGACTTTGACATCAATCTGGATTCAGACTGGTAATTCAATCTTAATAGTAATTCTCTCTTTCTCCCTTTCCAGTCTTTTGCATGGCAAAAAACGAAGAAGAGAGTTTGATTTTACATTTTCTGATAGGTTTTGATGAATAGTGATCATTTAGAGTCGGAGAAGTCATGAAGTAACCGACATGAATTTGGGAAATCACCTACAAAAATGGTGTTGCATCCACTTTGGGTTTCTTCGACCGGGCCAAGCAAAAAAATCGAAACGGTCAACCGTCTTCAAATTTGATGATTAGAACATGTTTGGCTCTTGATGGTTATAAAGATTAAGATCATCTGAATGCTCAAAAAAAAATGGCATAGGCCAGGAAATAGCTCGGATTTTCACATTGAGAGAATTACTAGTCTGATCCCTATGTTTTTAACCTAAGAGAAATAACTCTCGTTTGGTTGTGAGTAGTCGTGTTTAACCAGTGTATTTGTATCTTTTTGTGCGTCTGGTTAACCGTAAATAATAAATATGGCAGAAAAATTCAATAACAGTACAAAAAAGGACTCGGCAAAGGTAATTATAGGTGAACGACATAGTCGCAGGTGTTGTTCATATAGACTTATTCATCCATTTAGTCACCGAGGCGCAAGACACGATTAATATAGCCGTTTAAAGCATTACCTAGATGGACACTGGCGTTTAACAACTATATAAAAACTGTGTCATTATAATTACTCACTTTTGTTTGACAGATTTTTTCAGCGAGGATTTTATTAGAAAATCAAAGTACAAGGGTCAAAGGGACTTGTTTTAACTTGATTAATACAATAAGGTCTGGATTGTTTTGTTTTCTTTCCTACTATATGTAGACCTTTGATATTTGAAGATCTTTATTAGGCAACAAATAAATAGACTTTGATTTGCTGAGATTCAATTGTTCTTGCTTAGACCATCTGAAATAATCATTAAGCTAATAATTTGCACATAAATTGATATTTAATATGGTAGTACATGTAAGACACAAACTTCCAATATCCAAATT